TAAAAAATAGAGATGTCTGAAAATGGAGGGTATTAACTCAATAAGTACCCCAAAAGTGGCCAAGATGACCCAGTTCCTAGTCCTGAATATGTAATCATCTTTATCAAAGTATTAAATGATCTGTTAAAAATTGAAGTGTCTTGCAAATGGGCCTAATTCCTTGAACCAATTCTAAAGAGCTACTTCAACTTAACAGACGTCATGTCTATCCATAGAAAGATGACCATAATCTGAACATAGTAAGAAAAATGTAAAAACAATTCATACAATACAGCAATCTCAAGATTTTTATAAAGGGTATTAAATCCTAATTTTCATTATTGATCAAAATATCACAATTATCATCTTTTTAACATACAGGATCTATACCGATTTTTATCATGGAATGTACCTTACGAATGAAGGGATGTAGCACCCAGCAGCTCTCCACTACTAATGAGATCGTCTCTATAGAAAAAATGACCGTATCATATGTAATTAATTTTCATTATTGATCAAAATATGAATTTTTTAACATACAGGGTCCAAACTGATTTTTTTAAAGTCACGGAATGTGCTTTTCGAATGAAGGGATGTAGCACACAGCAGCTCTCTACTAATGAGATCGCCTCTATAGAAAAAATGACCGTATCATGTGTAACACAGAGAAATTTATCAGGGCAAGTCTAGTACATTTTATATTTTGGGGTGTAAGCACTAAGCACTCACAGGCTCTGACCTAATAGATCGTGGCTGAAACCTAAGAGGAGACTTGATTATAGGAACTAACCTAAACTGAAAATTTCAATTTCTTCGATCGAATTCTGCAGTTTTCTCTCTGTAGAATTATAGCATCATAGCTGTTTTTGTAATATTACTAAAATTAGAGTATATTCACAGCATTATGCCTACTTAATTCTTTATACACGGTTAAGTGTTACCGCAGATATAATATTCGCAGGTAGGCAAGGCCATGTACTAAACTTCCTTAAAGCAAGGCTCCAGTTCAGCTAACAGTAATAACATGTTCTCATTCGCAAAAAATATCTGATAGTAAGATAAAAAAAGGTTTTCATTATTCTCAACTTTGAAACATGTTTGATATTTTTTAGTGCAAATGAATACATATAATTAGTTATTTTAAGGTTAGGTTATGAAAATATATTCTGAAACATTTTCTATCCATCATGACAAAAACCATTTCAACTAGTACATCATAGCATATATACATACATGTACCAAGTTGATTAACAACAGACTCTTATGTGTAACATAACAAATCCAGATTCGTTACCAACAATAAGAAATGAAACAGTTCAAATATCAAGGGCCCAAATCAAACAGGATATACTTGCACTATTATCCAGTCTTTTTCATGTTGAAACCTAAAATACAACAAAGCGTTCTTCCAAAACAGAACAAAGAACATAATATTTGACTTCCTGAAGTGAACAAATTGCAGACAGCCCAAGGCTTTTTACAAGAGATCTATCTTTTTTAGGTTAACATGCATACAAAAGTTCAAGACAATATCTCCACAAAAGCTGATACAAAGCCAAAACACAATACATGTTGATAAGGTAAGCCTTAACTAGGAAGTGAGTAGAGCAAAACAATCCTCTCAAGACCATATTGCTTTTTAGACACATTACCACAAATTCACCTAAGCTTTTCATTGGCATTCAGCATGAACAATCGGTGCACCCGTAAGGGCTTGAAAAAAGTTTGGAACTTCTTTTCAGCTAGTTGTACACACCTACAGTTCATTTTATTAAATGTTAAATAATTACAACTTGTCTTGCATCACGTCTCTCCCATTCCACCAATACAAATATTAGAAAAATAGGAAAATTATAGAAATATGTTTATTTTGATACATTAGGGGTTTCATTAGCAGCAGGCAACAGGAGATTTTCACTGGTTGTTTTAACAAAATCGCCTGTTGTTTTTAGTTTTTTTTTAACTTTTCCATGTGAAATTTATGATTTCCATTATAGATTTTGCCTGTTGTTTTGATTTATTAAGCCTCTTGTGAGAAATTTTTGTGAAACCCCTGTACACGTACTTTAAGATATTTATTAAAAACCAATGGTAAACAAATTCTAAACAAAATGCTGCAAAAGTGCAAAACTTTGACTTGAAAAAATAAAACCATATTCTACATCTTCTTAGGTATTTCCTAAAGGAATATACCATTGAGAGTAATGCCCTAAACAAAATACACCAGCAATATGGTATAGCTCACACATCAAAGTAGAAATATTCAAAACACATTTTGTGAAACCAAATACATTTTTTATTATTTCCTAAAGCGAAAAAGGTCACTGTATTAACAAATTTGAACTGTTTTAAACCTTTAGCTCAAATACACTAAATCCAACGTGGTAAATAGGGAGGTAATTCACAAGAACAAATTCAAAAAAATGATTTCTTCATTCACATGCCCATATGTTCAATTATCATGGTAAGCCAAGCCTTCTCAATCTCTCCTTCTGGATGTTGCCAATTTCAGAATGATTTTTGTCATATTTAAGGTGTTTTCTATTACAGTATGTATATACATATAAAACACAAAATAGAAATACAATCAACCATCATTGATTTTGGATAAAAAGTTAGATGTCAAATAAGGACATTGTTTCATTTATCGATATACTATGTCCCTAGGGACTCTAAATTATTGATAGACCGATAGACCAACCTACTTCGCAAGTTTTGTTATGAAGGATTGGAACTTACACACGGGTGTTAAAACACGAATATACCATGAGCACATGCTTTGAGGATCCGCGTTGTTTGAACCTACCGCCGAGCACACTTATACATTAAGACCCGTTACACAGTCATGATACCGCCGAGCAAGCTCATTGCATCATCGGGTCTGCTTTACCCCCGTGTTACATCTCGAGAAACATAAACGCAATATCTACCATTAATACGAACTGATCATTTGATGTATGCTTTTGAACTAATGTTATCAATAGATGCCGCTGCAATGTGAAAGGTACAACTGTCATTTTCTCCAGATTCTTGATTTACTGTTCCCAACTAAAGTGGTTCAAAATAATCAGGATATCATAATTTGCTTCTTATCTTTTGTTATAAGGATTTGGGTAGCACCTCAAATTAGTATAATGGTGCCCTGGGTAGTGGGTTATTTCGAAATGCTTTAATAAATAAAACATGAAGTTAGGGGAATTGTAGAATACTACTAGTGTTGTCGCGATTAATTGATACATCGCTATATACATCGCCAAAGCTGATTCTGGCGATGCATCGATGTCTGAAAGAAAACATCGATGTTTTAAAAAAAATTTAATTTGCTAAAAATCACCCTTTCTTGTCTTATTTTGACGCAAATCACTTACCTTTCTCATGTCTTATTTCATATTCCAATGTTTTCTGATATTATTTCGCTTTTAAACTGTTTTAGCTAGTCGAAATGAACCATTAATGTAAAAAAATTACTTTACTTTCATTTCACCGTTACTAGAGTTTCCCGGATGTACCAGCGTACTCTTATTAATTTGTTCTGTTCGGTATTTTAGTGCATTGGCGTTCGGTATTTCAGTGCACTTTTCTCGGACTTTTTCTCGATGTACATTGCGATGTGCATCGATGCTTACTACTGAAAATTGCTGATGCATCGATGTATGATTATGGCACATCGCGACAACACTAAATACTACCATAATAAAGGCTTATGAAACTACTTTAGCAAGATCTGCAATATTAGGAAAACCATAATTTAAAGAAATTGCTTTCTTTCTACAATCCTTAAAATTATGTTCACAGATATGTACATTGTCATTTTCTGAGAAAGGCAAAATAATGAATTCTATAAAACAACTTATAACTGATAAAATAAAATCGGAATCTATGAATATAGCATTGTAGCAGACAAACAAGTCCTACCAGGCAAGACATGGCTTGTTTTAGAATACTTCCATGAGATCAATAAACAGTGTATACAATAGAAATCTATAATAGTAAAAGATATGAAAGATATATAAACTGTGATAATAAAAATGAGTGATCAATATTGCTGTTTATAGCTTCGACACGGTATCCCAAATATATCAGGTAAAATCATTAGAATGACTAAAAACAGTGTTCCCCATAAATGTGTCATAGAAAGGGTTGCTAAAAATATGATGCTGGTATAAAAACAGAATGGAGGTTTTTTTTAAAAAGAGCAATGATTGCAAGTAATGATATTGAGGGTGTAACTGCCAGTACAATGGTGGTATCATCATAGATCTACCTAATATAAGGAAAAACAAAGGTCCTAAAGAGCCATATGGCAGGAAGCCTCTTTATATTGTTGGGATCATTAAAGGTTACTATAACTCGGAAAAGACATGATGAATTTCAACACTAATCATAAAATAAAATATATTGACCAGCTCAACGTGACATACAATGAACTTACCAATACCATCATATAACATTTTGAGTCCTACTTGTGAAATATTTAACTTGGTTCTATTTGAAGAGAAAGTCATGGAATCATGATTGAAGACTAACATTTGCAAGCTGAGATATGCTTTGTTCTATTCTTAAATCTTTACATCTCGGATATCTAAGTTATGACATCACAAAATTGATTTTCAGATTGAAAATCAAACTAGTAAACGAGCAGGCATCCTCTATTAACAGGCACTTCCTTCTTCCCAATAGATAAGATGACATGTACTATTGATACTTTAGAACCATTGTGTTAGAGTTTTGTGGAGTCACTCACTGTCTTGATAAACACAACATTAGTAGAGAAATAAAGATTTGTTAACCTCATAACGATGGTATCAAAACAATAATTATGTTTGTAAGTATATTATTCATTATATTTTAGGGGCAATCGTCGTGCCACCCTTTACTTACTTCCTTTGGTTCAACGTTAACATGTAAAACCAACCTCGAATAAACATACACTTTGTTCCCACTTTCAATATCTACAAAAATACAGTTGCTCTTTTAGTTTATACCCAGCACCTAAAATACAGTACCACCCCTTTACTTACCTCTCCCACATAGCTATACTTTGCTTTGAGTATCATCCTGTATAATCGCGTTCTATTCTCATCATCAAACGGCATGGTACCACTCAACAATATGTATGTGATAACTCCTACTGCCCATAAGTCTACTGCACAAGTATATGGCTTGCGCGCCAAAATCTCTGGGGCAATATATTCTGGCGTCCCACAGGTTGTACGCATCATGCCATCACCAGCTGGACGCGTGGAACTAAGTCCGAAGTCTGTGATCATTATTTTAGAGTCTGAACCCGGATGGTAATATAGCAGGTTTTCCGGTTTTAGATCCCGGTGTGAGATTCCTAAACTATGGAGATAGCGTAGGCCATCGAGGACCATTCGAAGTACACGGGTCGCATCCCGTTCTGTGAAACTTCCTTTGGCAATTATGCGATCAAACAGTTCCCCGCCTGTGGCCAGTTCCATGACCATATAAACTTTGTCTCTGCTCTCAAACACTTCAATAAGTTGAATGATGTACATGTGTTTAACTCTGCGTAGTACACTAAGCTCTGACTCGAATACCTCTTTACCAAGCATACGATCTATCATCTTAATAGCGTAGGGTTGTTTTGTGATGCGGTGTTCGACCCTTACTACCCTACTGAAGCTTCCCCTCCCTATCAATGCCTTGATATCATATTTAGCTGTCACTCTAGGGTCGAACTTCGCCTTGTATTTGGCCACCTTCTTCGGTGGTCTCTGTACCTCGTTGTTGTGATCATTCTTCCTACGATGAGGGTGATGTTTGTTGGAAGTTGTTTTCCCCTTTTCTGGTTCATGTCCGTGAGGATAGACAGTTTTCACGACTTGTCCAGTGTTCGGAGGTGTTTCGGGCACCAATTTGGTGCTCACGCAGCCCATTTCCAACGACTAGGTGGCAACACAACCGTCTTCATGCCCTACTATAATACTTGCTGGCACTTTTGGACCGATTATTGATCATCGATCCTGAATATAATCCAATTTATTCCAACTTTACATGAATTCAACTTCTTTCAAAACAGATTCACTCAGAATGACCGAAGAGCACTCCTTGATTGGATTACATTCATCCGCCGGAAAGTTTTAAAACTTTTTGTCTTCTCGAAAGCTTGTTAGTGAGCACAACGAAACATTAGATAATATACGATTTTGTTAAGATTGACCGTTTTGAATAACGATGAGATTCAATTAGATTTTGAAATTAATTATGCTAATTGAGAACTATATTTTGTAAAAGGTCTTGATTGATCACTTGCGTATGGATAAAGAAATATGTCTTCAGTCACGTGACAGGAAAGTGACGTCACGAAAAGTAGTTTCAAAACAGTTCTCAGTGTTTTGTATTGACTTTAGATGGCGCCTCCCTTCAATTAATCCCTTTGCAAACATGAGAAAGTAAAGAGTAAATAGGAATACTAGAAAAACATGAGATTTATGCAATAACCTTGTAGAGTATTATTGTGATCTCTATACAGATTGAAATATCTTGTGTAAACATCAATATCACGTTTCATATAAAATTTTGCAAATGTCACATCATTTGGGGTTGAGGGGGAAATGGTTGAACTAGAAAAAAATGATTCTTCAATAATTTAGTCCTGAAGCATATCAACAATATGTTTCTGATACTGTGGGATTTTCCTGAGAAAGCACCAAGGATTCACATATAGGCAACAAATACAATAATCAAATCTGTATTGTTCACTGACAAATATTTTGTTCCCTTTCAAAGAATGACAGCGACACCATCTATTGAACTTCTTTACGTTTTCTTCGAAATAATAAACCTACCTGAATGAAAGGTGATAACTTTATTGACTTAAATTGTTCAAAGGAATAATGTTGGTCAATGTTTTTGTGTTATCAAATTCTACATTTCTGTTTTTCATTACCAATTTTATAAAATTCTTGGAGCTGATAAAATACAACTAAACAAAACAAACTTTTCAGAATCACTGTTTTATTTTAAAAACCTGAATAATACACAGATACATGTAACTGCATTATAACATGATAACACAGAGTGAAGCTGCAATATTTACAATTAAAGGGTTGGCAAATTATCCAGACTACATACAATACATATACAGCACAATCAAATGAAATAACATTATTTGTATTGTACAATTTTGAATTATTCTTTATCCATGTAGAACATATGAATCAAAATCTGGCACAACCTGGATATTTCATATATCCAATATGGTGCAATATTATATCATGAACTATGAACCTCCATTATAAAGGATGTGAAGAAATTTGATCATTTGATTGGTTCGTTAATTAATTAAATCATCCAACAATCAAGTTGGGGCACCATAACATAATACCAAAATAATCCTGAGGAAATATCTTATTTTGCTATGTTACACCATGAAAAATAAATATGACATATCGACATATTTTAGGATGTCACACTGTACAAAATAGATGTCACAAACCAAAGTCTTAAAATTAATAAATGAATCAATCAATCCTATTGATGGGTAGCATCTCCATGACAACTAAACTAAAGCAGTTAGAACTACATGTACTTATGATGAATTACAACTTGCATTTAATACAGGCATTTGCAGGGCTTATTGTTTATATACATCATCTCATCTTGTTTCTGTACAGCCATATTCTAATTATTTAATATATATCTCTCTATTTACAATATTAACATTGGGTTAATAACTTAAATTTGCACATTCAACTAACATTAAGGTGGGCAGTGTAATCTGGCTATATGAACTTTTCACATGTAAATAGACACAAAAGTCATTCTACTCTGCCCACCTTAAGTTGTTCGAATTAGAATTTTCACTTACTGTGTGAACAGTGTACACTTTGTTACATACAATATATTATCGCTCATCAGTCTATGTTGTATACCGCACTTTATTTAGTACAGCATCGGTCTAATTCATACTTCGTTCAATCTGATTGGTTATTGAAGTTTTCAAAGTAAATTGAAATTGTGATATCAGAAATGTATTGTACTGGTACATGTATTCATTTCTTTTACATTTAATGACACCATAAGGTGAAGAGAAGTCAACAGTTTACTTCAATTATGTCCAGAGGTACTAGAATAGTATTCATTCATTACATACTGTCAGTGTTCCACTGGTAACATTCAAATTGTATTGTTAAATAAGATATTTAGCATACACAGTAGAGAATAAAACAGAACTATATAACATGGGTAGTATCCAAGAGGACACATTATGACAGTTGATATGTTGCCATACCAACCATTTGCTATGCTTGTTCTGTATTGTCAAAGCTTGGTATTATCAAAACTAGTCGAAATATTGCAAAGAGCTTTAAATCTTGGAAACTACCCATGTTTACTATAAGAAAAGTGAAACAAGAGCACAAAAATAAGTTCATGTCTTTTAAATAATAAGTAGAATCACATACACACATAATAAATGTAAACTTTAAGTTTGATAATTCAGTAAGGTTCATTAATGCTGAAACTTTCAAATCTGCAATACAGTATAACCTATGAAGTTGAACACCTCTGCAAGTGGAACACTTCAGTTCTCTTACCCAATTGAACACTTCCCAATGACCAAACGTATTCTACTTACACAAGTTTCACTGTTTGCATCAGATCCCAGTTTTAGCCATTCCTGTTTTCTTGCTTAAGACATTCAATCAAATATAGTAAATGAGGTGAGAACTTCTTTTGGATGCAAGCTGTTAGTTAGAAGCTAGGCCTATAAGTGTATCTAGATAAAATACTGATGACCAGGGTTTCCATGCAGGTCCATAGGCCTATTCCTGTACACAGTACTCAGACCTCCATTAACTAATCCTCAGAAAGTGAAGTCAACTTTCACTTGTCTGACCATCTTAAAAAAACCAAAACGTGTACTTTGAGGTGTACAAGTTATACTATATGTACAGTACTTAGTGTATTTAAAGTGTATTACATGTTTTCTAGTCTGTATAGACTTTCTAATTTACTGCACATCCTCATGTACTCGATTACATACATTTCTGACTACATGACAGAACCAATCAATATGTCAAATTAAACATTTGTGCTTAGATTACTATCAATGTCACCTGTTAAATATATACACACCCACTAGTGTTACATGATTTTAGCATTCGGCTAAGATGCTAACGAGAAGTCTAAGTTCAAGGGGAAACTCCCGAGTAAAACCTACGGAAGGTATTTAAACAGAGGCATTCTGGCCTACACCTGAATTCACTGTACATTACTCTATAAGCAGATAAAAATCCTGAAAATTGTCCATAGCTCAAGCCTGTTTAAGCCCAAACTAAAGATTTTAATATTGGGGGACTCCTTTCTGAAATCTTCCACATTGAAGATTAGTATTATTCCTGGCCGAAGCCCTCAGTTTCTTCAATGGCTAATGTTAGCTTTTCCACTAATTGTTCGTAGCTTTTATAAGGTGGTAGGTCGAGTCTGTTAAAGCAGGTATGACTACGTGGTAGCCACGTCTCTTTGCCAACCTTCTCTACACAGAACCTCTGAGGTCCATTGCTCCCTGCAAACATACAAACAATGCAATTATATAAGATCAAATTGAATGAATCGGGCTAACTCAATTCAGGCATCTTTACCCCATTAATATACAGCTCAAGTTTCCCTGCTACAGACACTGAATGCCAAATGCTAAGCACCAACCACCAAACTCCGAACACTGTCCACAAAAAGTTTGGAGACAATAGCTAGGAGTGATGACATAAAAACAGCAACATAATACCATATGATCCATTCTTGGTACTTGCATCATATAAGAAAATGCCCAAATCATCCCACTATCCTCACCCTGAACTGAACCACCATGATAAATATGAAGCAAAGGAGGGTCTTAAAGTAGGGTCTTACCCATGAGCTCAGCAAATCCTCCTACTGGCAACCTGCATGTCCCTGTGACAAACTGCAACAGTCTCGTCCTTTGCTCATTCCCCAATTCCCTGGTAAACTGAAATTACAATTTTAGGTTTGAATACAACAACAATCATTCATATACTGTGAAATCCTTCTCATTGAACGACTCTCTCTCTATTGAACACCTGTGTGTAATGAACACCTCTTCTCAGCACACATTCCACTGAATTGTGTATAAGATTGCCTCTCTGTAGTAAACACCTAGCGAGAGTGAACACATTTTTGTGGCTCTATAGGTGTTCTATGTACACAGGTTTTACTGTACTAACAACTACAAGGCAAATGGGGGGAACTAAACTGAATACAAACCACACAAAACAGTGATCTCCCAGATTAATGTGGGTGCCACACCTAATTGGGATTTTAAAAAATAAGGATTGCATTCAGTTGAAAAACCTTTTGTAACAGCTTGAAAATGAGAAAGATCATGTCTGTAATTCAACCATTGCATATTTGAACAATTTTTGGGCAGAATTGTGAAAATGAGAATTTTGCAAGCATTTGAAGAAAAATCTCTAGCAGAACCCTGCATAGATACCAATATTCATACACAATCACAATCAATCTTACTTTGATAATATTACAGTGCGGGAAACAGTAAAGATGTGTGAGAGGTTTAATAGATAGTGAAGGGTATAAAGTAAGGGTAATAGAGTATGATGCGGTTAGGAGTTGACAATAATAGAATAAGGGGTATAAAAATGAGAGGTATAAGAGAGAGGGGTAACAAGGAGATTATAAGAGTGTGGGAGTAATAGAGTAAGGGAGCAGTGTATACCTCATCAGTTAACAATTTTGGGAATAAGATGAAACTTGACAATAAAAACTCCTACCTTCCAAAACCATTGTACTTGTTTACTATTGCGTGTATAGTGTCTGTATATGGAGTGACGCTCCCAGTCATCAACATCTATCTCTTGCATACCGCATAACATCAACTGAAATATAACATAAAAAAAATCAAAAAATCAGAATCATTCAGTTCACTTTCATTATTCATCTTCCACCAAAATTAAGAGAAATGCCTTCAAGCCAAAAATATCACTTTGACCTTGATGTGTATTTCATTATTGTTGTTTTATCCCAATAGATTTATGGTATACTTAGTGATAAATAAAAATGTTATCAAAAGTGTGGTGATGTATTTACCTCGAGCTCCCTCTCATCAAAATACTGCAACCATTGTAGGGGCACAACTTCATTGAAACCCTCTAAAAATGACTTAGTCTGCTCTTCAACACCTCGGTTGAATCTCCAGTTAGTCATCAAACTGGAAAATATATCAGGTTTGTGTGTACATTATAATTTGGAAAGTGTGGTGTCTCACAATGTCAACTTCTTGGAGATGATAGCTATGGTCACTTATCCACTCCTATGGTAACTTACCCACTCTTATAGTAACTATGGCAACTGACCCTCTCCTATGGTAACTATGGTAACTCACTCTTATATCTATGGTAACTCTACAACTCCTATGGTAACTATGGTTACTAACCCACTCTTATTACTATGATAAGTAGTAACTATGGTAACTCACCCACTCTTACCAACTTACTCTTACTTATTTTCTGTATTATCCAATATCTATCTATTTACATAATATTTCTATCAAAATGGAAAAATTCTTAATAAAAACTTTTACAAAAGCTGTCAATTTTCTTCAAAGGTCAATATTTAATCATAGACTTACGTTATATATTCTTCCTTATTTTCTTCAGTGACTTGAATATTTTCGCCACCTGGCTTCAGTTCTACTTGGTTTAGTTTGCCAAGAATCTCAAAGTCTGCATGGAAAAACAGCTCTAGACCACATTCTTCTATATCATTTTCCCTGAAATATGAACCATTTTATTAATTTTGTAAAATAGAATATCATTGTTCACTAAGGATTTTAATTTTATGTTATTAGTTCATGAAATTGTGAAAATTAGTAAAAAGTTAATTAAAAGTGGACGATTATTTTATATCACTAACAGACTACTATTTTATCAATATTCACGTCATAAATTCATGTCATGTCATTTTCAAAGTATAAATAAATGACTTAAATATCATTTGGACCTCTTTGACTTACTTTAAAGAATGACCCAAAATATTTCCAAAATTACTACTTGGCCTATAGTTTGTCTTATACTTAGGGAGAAGTATTTTAACTTACTTTATCCAGACTAGAGAGTTGTAGAATTCTGGGTCAATAGACTCAATATCTGCAAGTGTCAGCTTCTTACTCAGCATGTTTTTGTAGAAAGGCATAGTAAATCCACTATCTATGAACTTGCCATGGTATAGTGCCTAAAAAGTAATATAGAAGATAAAGGTCAACTACTGAGTTATTTGAAGTCTCATTATTACAAGCATGTAGAATTCAAATAGATGGCATAGTGAAGCATTTATGCATTTCAGTAACATGCAGGGAATAAATAAATCAAATAAAGCACACCATCTATCACAACCGATGTCTTACTGTAACGTGTTTAAGGGCAGAAATAGGATGAACCGATCATATACTAATTTTCAAAAACTTCTTTCCATTTTCTCTACCGATCTTTCGTTGGTTCATCAATTGCAGTCAGGATATATTGTAAAGGTCTGTTGCTTTTAACCAGACATGATAGAAAATATAACCGTTTGTCAAATAAATTACAAACTGATGCAAAATGAAAGCTCTATAAGTTGTCACACAACTGCTATGATGATTTTCATGATTATAATTTTTTCCATGATGATGCAGAATATATGGTTGCCATGGTGATCACTTACCATTGCTATGAAGCGTCCAATGAACTTGAAGTATGTCAAATGGTCAGGATTAACTGTTGAAGCAGGATTGATCTGCAGGCAGTAGTTGTTATTGTTGGCATATTCAAACAGGCAGTACATGGGATTGAGCACTTCATGGGACAGACGGAAAAACCACTCTCTGAAATGGAATTATTATTGTTAATTGATTTCAATTAAATATTTTAACATTATCCATTCAAATGTCATAAGAACTGATTTCACATATCATATTTTTAGTATGCTACATAGAATACCATAATAAGTTTGTTAACTTGTGACTAGATTAACAACTCTGGGTGTTGAACATATAGGTTTTCAAAAAAGTATATCAATATGTTGACAACACTCTACAAACTACCATAGCACTGAAAATTAAAAAAATTTTGACAAGATTGTGATTTTCATTACCTTGCAGGGCCGCCATAATCTAAGCCCTCCTCTCCTCGGAATATTATGTAGAGTCTACGTCGTAGGTCAAATGGCTGCAGTCTCATTATCTAGACACAAAAATATAGCCATGCAAATTCATTGTAATATGTTTGCATATATACTAGAGATGGGATGGTTCTAAGAAACTGTCCCACTCCAGAGTACTTAGCTCTAAAGGTATTGGAAGTCAGAACATATTAGGTTATACTTTCAGAACGGAGCAGAACGTGACATGTCAATTATAAATGTAAACAAATGATTATGTCCAAAAAATAAATATAATCACTATTGAATGATAACAATAAAACATTTAAGTTGCTAATGTAAACATTACAATCATTATTCTAGTAGTGAGGGCTTGCATATTGTTCTTTTCAAAAGGTTTTGTTACATTCAATTCCAACAGTAGTTGATTATTTTCTTTGCACATTTTATGTGTTAATATCACTTACATCAACAGATTATTTTAATGAAAAGTTTTATAAATCATATACAAAAAGTGAAAAGATTATCTCATGTAAAACTATGATTTGGTGCATCATGTTTTCTTCAAGAAACGTTAATATCAAATGGGTTCATTTATGAATATTATTTTCATGCATAATGATTAAGTTTCATTTTACAATTACAACATTGTTTAGCAGAGCATGCGGATCTTAAATGTGCACATATGGTCAGGGTACCAGCCCAATGTATAAATTGACAACACGAAAGTAAATGATACAAATTGCCGACAATTTGGATTTGGTAGCTGAACAACACAGCATTAGGACATGCATAAATGGTATCTCTTAAAGACCATATTTCTATTTTACCTAATGTTTTGGCTCATTCTTATTTTTGTATCTGACATTTTCTTTTGTTATGAATAAGAATGGATAAAATAAGGCCTTTTGTCCAACAGAAACATTCAAAATGATAACAGAAAATATGTTACATTGATTTTAATAAATAAATAATAAATAAAAAATTCAAAAAATAAAAATTCAACCATGCACATTGCACAAATTAAATGAAAAGGGAAATCATCAAAACACCAAAATAACAATTAAAAATACTTATTGAAATTTAAGGTATCAAATCCTTCTAACAAGCATTGGATATTTCTTTTTTGCAATGCCTTATCTATTTTGGGATCTAGTCTACTGGGTTCAAATGATTCAGTCTAACATTACACATACTTTTAACTTGTATTTTAGCATTGTTAACTTCAACAAAAGCAAACACATAACAACAGATGTCAGTGTTATACGTAGCTATGGAAACAACCTATTTACCCAGCATGCTCATCGCTTGCTCAGTTAGCTATTGTCATGGAAACAACCAATTGTTGTGTTTCATAAATGCCTGGTCCAGATATATCATGAATGTGGTTTTGTTTAGTCTTATTGTAAATATACAGCATACTTCATGTTACATGCAAAATACATTATTCCTCATATGACTGACCAAGGTACATGTAATAATGACATATTGTATATAAACTGCAGTCCATTTATCCTTAAAACATGTAAGACCATTTGTCATTTGAGGAAAATATTCAAAGCTGTACATATACGGTACATGTTAATGACCATCCATACTTATACTTGATTCACTGGTATATAGCTTGTATTGACAAAAATTAATGATATTTTGCAGTACATGCATTTACACATCAACATTTTTGGTAGGTTCAAAGCAAGCAAAAGTTTGGTATCTTTATGGGTATTGGAATTCATAACTAACACAAAACCACATTCAATCAAGGCGATCCATTAACAAGGCATTAACATGCAAAATGTCACCACTTGCCATTTGCAACAGATGCCAACTGCCGAACAATGTCCACAAAAAGTTGTAACAATATGTCACCATAATTGGTTGTGACACAATAAAACAGTGCTAGTACAACAGGAACAACAACAAATGATTGGTTTCCATAGTAACTCAGCTGAGGTTTCCATAGCAACCGCAAGCCTTACCTGGTGAAAGGAGGTTTCAAACAAATTGTCTCTCGTTACGTGTATCTTGACGTGTCCAGGGAGAGCATTAGACTACATAGTCCAAAATATAAACATGAACATTGTTATATATCATTTTATAGAAGTGTGTTTTACATTACACCTCCAAACTAGAGCCAACAATTTAAGATCAATAAGATGTAAATCCCTTGAAGTTTATTTTATTAAACAGCACCATTCAGCAGTTTCAATGGTGATTTCATGTACCGTACTCATTTTTTAAAAAGCAGGTCGAAGTGCAAAAGTTGGTCAAATTATGATGCCAAAATAATTTTGAACCCCCTCAGATTCAGTTGAAGACTGTATGAAAAACACCTCTGGTTGCAGTAATAAGTGCAATAAATTGTGGCTCTAGCATTGAGAGGGTTAATGTAATGAAACATGTAATACCTGATGGAAGGAATCTTCAAATAAGGTTTGCCTAGAAACACTGATTTTTACATGACTTGGTAGGGCATTAGTCTGAAAACAAATAAATTACTGTTCATCAAATTCTATAATTTTATAAGATTCTGCCAAAGTTTTGTTTATTTTTTAAATAAAAAGCAGCAATTAATGTATATATTTTCTAAGGCCTCAAGTTCTCAGTACAAATCTAATCTTCATTTTCTCTTTCAAGGTTCCTAATGGATAATAGCTACAAAATTTAAATATGGATGAAAAAGAAAATTTGTTCTTATATAGTATCATGTTTGACATTCAGTGCATTGTTACATAATTCATTATCAACTATTAAACTACTACTATACTACCATGTTATCACTACATTTTAACTGTTCTATTACCACTAATGTACATTTACAGATCAACATCGGTGTTCACTTAATGAACTCACCTGACAGAGAAATCTAAACTGTCCCAACTTCCATCGGAAACTTCTTTCATATTGTATAGGCACACCAAAAGCTCCCACTGGCCTGAAGTATAATGTACAATGTACAATATATTAAAAGGTTTATTGTCTATTGCTGTAATAGACTCTTTAAATGAGATCATTGAAGAGAAACCTACACAATTATTTTTTTATTGAAAAAATACTAAGAATTATGATTAAAAAACACAATTAATATACTACAATGTTCACATTGATTTCTGGACAAACTTATTGTAACTTGTATTAAATGACAATTAATCAAAATTTGAAAATGAGGGTTTGTATGAGTATGCAGAAACAATATTTCAAGAAAAGGCATTAACATGCATTATGTTAAAATCTGACATTTGTAACAGACGCTGACCACCAAAAGCCAATCACTGTCTACAAAAAAGTTGGGAGACTATAACAATATGTCATCACTTCTGGGGGTGACATGATAAAAGTCATCAAAATGTCTCAGAAAATATTTGAGCAACAAATTGTTTCTTATCAAACCTACCCTTTCCCGGAGCCACCTCTGGGATCTTGGAATGTGGTAGTGCGTGTATTGTGGTCAACGAAGTAGCGCACACCCTCCCCAGTGTACCTCATTTCCCAGCCCTCAGGGAGTGGGTCTTCTTGCATAATACTGGAATAGTACATGTACAAATATATGAGATTTTAAGAAATATTTTGATGTAACATTTATTTAAACAATTTCTTGATATATTATTGGTTTAGATATAAATAGTAGGGGTGAAATGATTAACAAGATTTATATTTGGACATAACATATTTATCAAAACAATTTCTTAATCAATTATATAATTGGTTGAGATACAAATAGCTTTCCAATGGTCCATAAGGACATTGGAACTACAGGACAAGACTATATATATTATAAACAAAATGGCTCTGGGCTAGCACTTATGTTGCAGTGACTGAAAATGCCAAATTGTGAAGGATTATAGTGTATTTCTTACATAAACCTTCCACAAATTATTAATAAAACAGCTTTTGAATAATTTCAGTTATTGAGAAATAAGCTGTTAAAGCGCAAACACTGAACCGACCAATGTCAATTCCATTGTAGCCCACATATGTACATGCAGGAGTCACTTACCCCTGTGTTCTTGGGTCTTCCCACTGAGTGGTTCTATTCTGATGGTTCACAAAGTAAACACGACCATTCGCATCAACTCTTTTCTCTGAAATAGAAGATTTGAGAGTTATTTTCAACGCTATAATTATGGCAATTAAAAAAGTTGGGGTTTTATAGACAATGTTCGTCTCAGCATTATCTTTTGGGAAATTCCATTTACAACTTGTAATCTACCAATCAATGTAATTCTGTAAGTAATGTTCTGTTCTTACCCCATCCATCAGGTAGGGGTCCAAGGGGGTCATTTTCCTGGGCCTGAGGGAGCTGCTGTGGGAACAGGAACCTGTTGGCCATCTGATCCATATTCTGATTCCTAACAGCACAAGCAAAAGGAACAATGAAATAATGTTTTATGCTAGGGACATCGGTTTAATATACATAAATTTACATAATGTGAGCTGGACAGTGGAAATTTTTTATAGTGTTAGGTTTATAGGTAATAGTTGAAAGTGAAAATGTTAATCCATCAAACTTACCAAAAAACAATCAAAGAACCAGACTTCAAGAAAGATGAATTTATTTTTCCAAAGAATATTGAACTTAGATCCCTTGATTGCCAACTTTTATGTTTGACTGGCTTACGTTTTTCGAGCCTCGCATTGCCTTAATAATTGTAATGCCTTGATAATGAGGGTAGATTTTAATGAATAGTTGACATTGGTGTCTATAATTCTATTATTCATTGAGAAAGAAATGTTACCTGTTCTGTCTCCAGGCCTGCCACTGTTGATATGTTTGTAATGTGTCAGTGGTGGGTCGTTGCCATGTTGTTGTACGTGAATTATGATCAACGTAATAGACACGTCCTCTGTTGTCCACCCTCCTCTCCCAGCCTGCGGGTAGGGGCTGCGGCCTCTCCCATGTGGTAGTGTGCGTGTTGTGGTCAACATAGTACGCTCTTTGATGCTGATCTATGCGCATCTCCCAGCTTAAATACAAACAAGTTGTAATGAACAAACAAACAAACAAGTTGTTACAAACAAATTAATTGTTGCTTCAGCCTTCTTAACAGTACTTAACTATTGTCATAGTAACTTCTCAATGAGTTATAGGTTTTGATTTATTCATTGTTGCAAGATAGTATCAATATTTGTCAAGTTCTTTGATCTAAAGTTTCAGCATTTTCAACCTTGTTCAATATCCAGTTCGGCCATTGCAGAATTGGAAATTGCAAGGCTAAGTAATAAATTTAAAAGGCAAAAGTACAGTGTACGGCACAAACTGCATTTGAACATCAGGGAATTAGACTCTTCATTGAATTGTTCAAGAAAATGAAGAAAAGTGCCAGTGACATTTGAAGTATGCATTCTCTCTGAGGTTGGGTATCTTGGACTCACCCAGCTGGAAGAGGCTCCTGACCCCCAGGGGCAACACCATTCTGTTGTGCTGTAGGGGTCGTAGCAGGAGCTGTTGTAACACTGGGACTTGGTGTACCAGGTGTGGACGTTGTTGTTGAACCTACAATGCATACAGTGGAAACTAAAATATATATACATGAAGGGGTTCAAGAGAGCATTATATGTAACAAGAATAGCCATTTATTGTTCAGTGCATCCTCCAAGTGCAGGGCTCCAGACACCATTCACAACATTCCTTCCTTCTATGAGGTACACATTCTGGAGGCCTGTGTTCGGAGAATGTGTTCAATGGTGCCGGTGTACCAATGTGTACTGTAAAAATATAGTACATATTAACGAGTATATATATAAACACATTCTGTTGTGATATGTTAAAGGAAAGCAGCACGAGAAAACCCAGAAGTTTTCATTAAATGTATCACAATAATGTGTAAATTATTTTTAAAAATTCATGCATTGTGGACATGTATACACAATGATTTACAAGTGAAAATATGAAAAATGGATGATATGAAGCGAATGTAATGTGTTGGATCCATGGGAAGTTAAGTGCTGGGCTATAAAAACACGTACATGTAACAGACAACTTGAGACTTGAAAACAAAAAGGTCTACATGTAATAAAACACCAACAACATTTAATTTTTTACATTATTCATCTTCCCCAACAGATGCAAAAATTCACCATACGACGATCTGCGATAGAAATTTCAAATAGGGTTTAAACTTTACAGGGTTTTACCTAAATCACCTTCACATATAACAAAAAGGAAAAGGCCAATAATTACAAAAGATTAAGAGCCCTATGTTGACCAAGGAAAGGCTGTGATATAAAACAGATAACCCCTTAATTCCAAGAACAATCTGTCACAAATAGAAACATAGGAAGAAAACAATACAGTAGACATGAAATTGATCTAACTGAATGAATTTATCAGATTCATGCAAACTATGTTTAAAAATGTGTGACTACATGACCGACTATATGTAATAATTATTTACAAATACATATTACCAAGTTGAACAAACATAGCAGTCTATTAATAAATTCACAAAAATAAAAATGTTTTGGTTTCAAACCAAATATTCAAAAGGTTAAAGTAGCACAGCGGACTAGAAATTAAGCAGATTACCTGGAAAGTTCAAATTAAACCAAGAAGCCCTGTCAGCTAATAGAAAAATAGACATTTATTGGCTATATGATTTGATGATTCAAACATAAAAAACATCGTGAAAATGTCTTGTTCTATACATTTAGTTCTATACTAGTACAAGATTGAAGCATAAAATAAATAGTTTAGTTCATGTTTATCATGTATACAACAATGTAATAATAATGCACTCGTACAATGCACACATAAAAACATTTCAGGAATTGACACAAATTTGGTCTGAATGGCCATATAAGTTGAAGAGATAAAGTGAATTATAAATTATAAGATCCCAAATATTGTTTCGAATGTTCTAGATAAGAACCAGAACTTACTTGTAGTAGTAGCTGAAGGGGCTGTGACAGTTGCAGAGGTGGCGCCACTAGCACTGCTGTTTGGTGGGGGTGGGAGAGGTGGGGCGGGGCCTTTGCCCCTGGGTTGGGATGCGGCTGCTGCCCCTGACAGAGCTGCAGCATTAGATGCACTTGGCCGTGGTGGGGCCGCTGCATGACGGGAAGTTGAACTTGCTGCTGATTGGCTACTGGTGGAACCTGAAATCATCAATGTTTGTATAACAATAACACTTAGATTAAATTCATACTTGAAAACTTGAAAAAACGGCAACTTCTCAGATTTGCAAACACCATCCAACAAAACATATTAATTTTGAACAGAAATAGCTTAACAGTATTTAAGTTAAAAGACATAAGATTTTATATTAAATGGCAGCCATTTATTGTAAATTAGTATTATTACTTTATAAATATGACGTTTACTTGAGAGTTAATAATCTAAATCAGAAAGGTCTTACTTGGTACACCCAATACTCACTCTGAGCAGTACCATTTGGTACAGGTCCAGTCCTGGCTGGGAACTGCTCCATATTAACATTCATTCCATCTAACATAATCATAATCTCTCCACTACGCTTCAGTGAACCTTTATCATCAGCTTTCATCTCCAGTTTGTGTTGTAAGTGATTAACTGCATAAACAGATTTGCAATAACACAAATTAGCTACTATAGCAGTATTTTTTGGCATTAACATGCAAAATGTCACCACCTGCCTTTTTTGAACAGACGCTGACCAATGACCACAAATCGCCGAACCACAATGACAAAAAAATGGAGACATAACAATATGTCGCCAATTGTAGTAGTAACATAAAAATTACTGAAAATTCAGATTCTAACTGGCTTAGTAACATGTACTTACATACAGAATAGGCAAAAGTACTGAACATTTTGGAATGATGAAATAATATTTAGGACTACTATTATGAAAACAGTATAGAGCTTTTTGCAAGGTAACATTTGAAACCCAAATCGTTAGATAATCTCCGGCAGCTACTTACATTTGCCATTATTCAATGTAAGAAGTTTATGGAGGTCTAGGGATACCTGACCCAGCAGTTGGTCAGACTTCATACTGAAGTGGTTCAACACCTTGAAGTCTAGCTTTGAGTAGGGGGTCACAAGCCTGAAACGAAGCATATCAAATAGAATAAGATGTTTAAAGCACAATGTAAAGTTGGAAAATATGTTTTCATCATTAACTACTATTTTTATGACTTTAAAAGTTATCTTAGAGATTTTTGAAAAAAAATATATTTCTCAAATTTTCAAATTTCCTGCTACTCTAAGAGCGAGGAGGAAAATTCTTAATAAATGGAGTATAGTTGGTTTGGCAGCATTTTCAGTTAGAGGGAAGTCTTGGATGAAAATTCTACCTAGGTGATAGCTTCACAGAGTGGTACATAATTCTTTTTTTTCAGGGGTTAGCCCCCCACCCCCCAAAAAGACCCCACCCCCGGAAAATAATTTTTTCATCTTCAATAATTTTAGATATCTTGATGTTTTTAAGTTACATACATAGACATTATACATATGAATCATTTGCAAAATAAATAATGCCAATCACTCCTACAGAATTTGGAAAATACTACAAAGTATGTACCCCAGGGGGCAAATTCGTGACCCATTTTCTTACTATCTAGAGCCTCACTTTTCAATCAGACACTGGAAGACATTGAAAAATTTCATGTGAAGTGCCTAGTAGCAGGGCTATAAGTTCTGAAAGGTTCAAACTAATTGAATTAGTAGGAGCCGAGAAAAAAATTGTTGATTTTTTGAAAAATTTGACATTTTTGAGAGGGGTGATTTTGTGTATGACTATAGCTGATGCCTATGGTTTCCAGATCTATCCCTCTTTGATGATAAATATGGTTTTGGAGTATGGAACTAACATGTAAAAAATAATTAAAATGGGTTTTAAGGAAGTTAAATGTTTTAAACAAGTTCAAAATTCCAAGAATTGTACAATATCAGGTCTGAATTCACGAATTTTAGGTAAGACCTTGGATAAGCCTTAGATTTTTTAAATATATCCCCCTTTGATGATATTTATGGCTTTGTAGTGTTGAACTAAGATGTACAAAATAATCTAGATGGTTTTTAAGAAGGTTTAAGGATTTTAACAAGTTCAAAATTTGAAGAATTGTACAATATCAGGTCTGAATTTACGAATTTCAGGTAAGACCTTGGATGAGCCTTATATTTTTCACAACTGTCCCTCTTTGATGATATTTATTGATTTGTAGTGTGGAACTAAGATGTACAAAGTAATTTAGATGGTTTTTAAGAAGGTTTAAGGATTTTAACAAGTTCAAAATTTGAAGAATTGTACAATATCAGGTCTGAATTTACGAATTTCAGGTAAGACCTTGGATGAGCCTTATATTTTTTACATTTGTCCCTCTTTGATGATATGTATGGTTTTGTAGTATGAAACTAATTAGTAAAAAATAATTAAGATGGATTTGAAGAAGGTTTAAGGATTTTAAATGAGTCCAAAATTTGAAGAATTGTACAATATCAGGTCTGAATTTATGAATTTCAGGTATGACCTTGGATGACCCTTATGTCTTTTAAATCCCCCCTCTTTGATAGTATTTATGGTTTCATAGTGTGGAACTAAGATGTAAAATATAATTAAGATGAATTCTAAGAAGCTTTAAGGATTTTAACAAGTTCAAAATTTGGAGAATTGTACAATATCAGGTCTGAATTTACGAATTTCAGGTAAGACCTTGGATGGCTCTTATGTTTTTTTTTACATCTGTCACTCTTTGATGATATGTATTGTTTTGTAGTGTGGAACTAAGATGTAAAAAATGGTTTGGATGGTTTTGAAGAGTGTTTGGGGATTTCAATGAGTCCAAAATTTGAAGAATTGTACAATATATGCTTTTATACTAATGAACTAAGATGTAAAATATAATTGAGATGAATTTTAAGAAGGTTTAAGGACTTTAAAAAAGAAGGTTTAAGGATTTTAACAAGTTCAAAATTTTAAAAATTGTATAATATCCGGTCTGAGTTTACGAATTTCAGGTAAGACCTTTGGTGAGCCATATATTGTTTACATTTGTCCCTCGTTGAAGATATGTATGGTTTTGTAGTGTAGAACTAAGATGTAAAATAGATGTAAAAAACAATTAAGATGGATTCTAAGAAGATTTAAGGATTTAAGGAAATCTTGGCGCATTGTACAATATTAATTCGGCAATTAACACTACATTTCAAATATAACCTTGGTTGGCTCTAAACATTTAGAAAAAATGGAGTCCCTATTTATAATTTTTCATGGGGACTTCACTTGAAAGAAAACATTTTTTTAAATAAAAACCACTGTATTTATGCCCAGAAAGTACTCATGGTGAAATATATGACCGTCTAAAATCACTTGCCATACTGCAATGCACATGGACCTTTTTTAATATTTCTGGCTTATGTCATTCCTTTTCATGTCTATTTGCTAATAATACCCAAACTGCATGTACTTTATTTCAGGAAAAAAAGATTTCTACAATAATGTATTATTTTTCCATAAGAATGGTTACCATTCTTATTATTTTGGGAGAATTTAAACATTTTTCACCCATTTTTGCTTTTTGAATCCATTATTACTTCATCAATTTTTAACACATCGTGAATCTTTTTGGGGATATTGTATTTGAGATTGTAAGGAATGGATTGGTACATGAATTGTACATGTTGCTTGTAATTTTGTCACACCCATAGATCTGACCTTTAAACTTCCTTAAAACCCATTTAAATTATGTTTTACATCTAAGTTCCATACTACTAAACCATGTATATCATCATAGAGAGATACATACCTGAAATTCATTAATGTCAGAAGATATGATATTGTACAATGTGTCAAGTTTTGAACAGGTTTAAAACCTTAAACCTCCTTAAAACCCATCTAAATTATGTTTTACATCTTAGTTTCATACTACAAAACCATATATGTTATCATAGAGAGATATATGTTAAAAACGAATAAGGGCCATTCACAGTTATACCTAAAATTAATAAATTCCAGACCTGTTATAATTATACAATTCTTCAATTTTTAACTTGTTTAAACCTTAAGCTTCTTTAAAACCTGTCTAAATTTTGTTTAACCTCTTAGTTCAACACTACTAAAGCATATATGTCATCAAAAAGGGATAGATGTTAAAAACATAAGGCTCACCTAAATACCCCAAATTCATGAATATCAGCTCTGATATTGTACAATTCGTCAAAATTTGAACTTGTTTAAAACCTTAAACTTCTTTAAAACCTGTCTAAATTTTGTTTTACATCTTAGTTCAACACTACTAAAGCATATATGACATCAAAAAGGGATAGATGTAAAAACATAATACCTAAAATTCATTAATATCTGCTCTGATATTGTACAATTTGTGAAAATTTGAACTTATTTAAAACCTTAAACTTCTTTAAAACCCATCTTGATTATGTTTTATATATTAGCTCCACACTACTAAACCATATATATCATCAAAAAAGGATAGATGTTAAAAATATAAGGGCCGAGCAAGGTTATACTTTAAATTCATGTACTATACGCCAAGATTTTGAACTTGTTTAAAATGTTAAGCTTCTTTAAAACCGATGTAAATTATGTTATACATATTTCCACACAACTAAACCAAATATATCATGAAAAGGGGATAGGTGTTAAAATCATATGGGCTAACCAAGGTTATATTTGAAATTCATTCATTGCAGACCTGATATTGTACAATTCTTCAAATTAAAATCCTTAAGCCTTCTTAAAATGCATCTAAATTATTTTTTACATCTTAGTTCCACACTACAAAACCATACATATCATCAAAGAGGGATAGGTGTAAAAAAATATAAGGCTCATTCAAGGTCTTACCTAAAATTTGTAAATTCAGACCTGATATTGTACAATTCTTCAAATTTTGAACTTGTTAAAATCCTTAAACCTTCTTAAAATTCATCTAAACTATATTTTACATCTTAGTTCCATATCATAAAACTATAACTGTCTTTAAAGAGGGACAGATGTAAAAAATTAAAGAGTCGTCCAAGGTCATACCTATAATTCGAAAATTCAGACCTGATATTGTATAATTCTTTAAATTTTGGACTCATTAAAATCCTTAAACACTCTTCAAAACCATCTAAATCATTTTTAACATCTTAGTTCCACATTACAAAACAATACATATCATCAAAGAGTGACAGATGTAAAACATAAGAGCCATCCAAGGTCTTACCTGAAATTCATAAATTCAGACCTGATATTGTGCAATTTTTCAAATTTGGAACTTGTTAAAATCCTTAAATCTCTTAAAATTCATCTAAATTGTATTTTACATCTTAGTTTCACACTATAAAACCATAAATATCATCAAAGAGGAACAGATGTAAAAAACAAAAGGGTCGTCCAAGGTCATACCTGAAATTAGAGAATTCAGACCTGATATTGTACAATTCTTCAAATTTTGGACTCATTGAAATCCCTAAACACTCTTCAAAACCATCCAAACCATTTTTTACATCTTAGTTCCACACTACAAAACAAAACATATCATCAAAGAGTGACAGATGTAAAAAAAACATAAGAGCCATCCAAGGTCTTACCTGAAATTCGTAAATTCAGACCTGATATTGTACAATTCTCCAAATTTTGAACTTGTTAAAATCCTTAAAGCTTCTTAGAATTCATCTAAATTATATTTTACATCTTAGTTCCACACTATGAAACCATAAATACTATCAAAGAGGGGGGGTTTAAAAGACATAAGGGTCATCCAAGGTCATACCTGAAATTCATAAATTCAGACCTGATATTGTACAATTCTTCAAATTTTGGACTCATTTAAAATCCTTAAACCTTCTTCAAATCCATCTTAATTATTTTTTACTAATTAGTTTCATACTACAAAACCATACATATCATCAAAGAGGGACAAATGTAAAAAATATAAGGCTCATCCAAGGTCTTACCTGAAATTCGTAAATTCAGACCTGATATTGTACAATTCTTCAAATTTTGAACTTGTTAAAATCCTTAAACCTTCTTAAAAACCATCTAAATTACTTTGTACATCTTAGTTCCACACTACAAATCAATAAATATCATCAAAGAGGGACAGTTGTGAAAAATATAAGGCTCATCCAAGGTCTTACCTGAAATTCGTAAATTCAGACCTGATATTGTACAATTCTTCAAATTTTGAACTTGTTAAAATCCTTAAACCTTCTTAAAAACCATCTAGATTATTTTGTACATCTTAGTTCAACACTACAAAGCCATAAATATCATCAAAGGGGGATATATTTAAAAAATCTAAGGCTTATCCAAGGTCTTACCTAAAATTCGTGAATTCAGACCTGATATTGTACAATTCTTGGAATTTTGAACTTGTTTAAAACATTTAACTTCCTTAAAACCCATTTTAATTATTTTTTACATGTTAGTTCCATACTCCAAAACCATATTTATCATCAAAGAGGGATAGATCTGGAAACCATAGGCATCAGCTATAGTCATACACAAAATCACCCCTCTCAAAAATGTCAAATTTTTCAAAAAATCAACAATTTTTTTCTCGGCTCCTACTAATTCAATTAGTTTGAACCTTTCAGAGCTTATAGCCCTGCTACTGGGCACTTCACATGAAATTTTTCAATGTCTTCCAGTGTCTGATTGAAAAGTGAGGCTCTAGATAGTAAGAAAATGGGTCACAAATTTGCCCCCTGGGGTACATACTTTGTAGTATTTTCCAAATTCTGTAGGAGTGATTGGCATTATTTATTTTGCAAATGATTCATATGTATAATGTCTATGTATGTAACTTAAAAACATCAAGATATCTAAAATTATTGAAGATGAAAAAATTATTTTCCAGGGGTGGGGTCTTTTTTGGGGGTGGGGGGCTAACCCCTGAAAAAAAAGAATTATGTACCACTCTGTGAAGCTATCACCTAGGTAGAATTTTCATCCAAGACTTCCCTCTAACTGAAAATGCTGCCAAACCAACTATACTCCATTTATTAAGAATTTTCCTCCTCGCTCTTAGAGTATGCCATTTTTCATACAAAAATTTTTAATCATCAAATATTTATACAGTGAAAAACATATCGTGAGAGCTCTTGGGAAGGTTTTACGAGTTCTGATAATAGCTATGGATAATCCTAATCTCTCCCAATTCCAATAATAATATAATATTCATACAAATGGTTTGTTTGATACAGGATCACAAGAGGAGACTTGCAAGGAAATTAGACATAAACTTTATGTCACAAGGGAGTAACAAGATTGAAGCACCCTAAACTTTTTCAAATGGGTTGTCATGGGTAATTGGGACAAACCCTAATAAAATTAAAATATAATTAATTTTATTAATAAAATTTGATGAGACCCCCCATTTAGACACACACATATGAGAAATATTTCTGTAATAAACACGGGGGTAAAGCAGACCCGATGATGCAATGAGCTTGCTCGGCGGTATCATGACTGTGTAATGGGGCTTGATGTATAAGTGGGCTCGGCGGTAGGTTCAAACAACGCGGATCCTCAAAGCATGTACTCATGGTATCATCGTGGTTTAACACCCGTGATAAAGAGCCATACTTGATAAATAATAATGAGTTTTACCACACATAACTATTTTATACAGTCTTATAATCAATGATTTCCAACACAACTATGAAACAATTATTGATATAGGTGGAGTTTAATTATGTTCAACCTGTCAACACTACTTTTACACAGTAATTAAAGTCAGTAATGGTATGTTGCAATCATTTTATTACACCTTATTCAATAACAATATTGATAATTTGTAATAAATGAAAGAAAACAATAGAAACTACACATGAACATTCTATTCACAGTTTAATATACTCAATCATATATTCGGCTGTATGCCTAATCATACCTATAGCCAACTTTTAATAAGGGGTGGAGGTTGTGAAATGTTTCTTAATTTTCAGAGGGAGTTGAACATTTGAGATTGGTCGAAAAAAAGAACCTTTGCTACAAAGGTAAATCAAAATCCTAACAAACATTGTGAGCCAAATAATAAAGAAGGTAGATCAGAATTTTATCGAGCGTCCTTAGCCAAAATACAATTACAAAGTGGTATGTTATCCTTACACTGTGAAATGTTCATTCCAAGATGGCATCCATGTTTTCTTATTGACTTCAGTTTTTCTTGGTGACTGTCCATCCACGCTGAGCTCCAGGTAAGGATCAGCTTTTGAAGAAAAGAAACCACCATTTTGTTGAATTTTTGCAGATTTTACTGAAAAATAAACAATTGGGTTATAACAACAGTAAGGAGGTACTGAATACAGGATGTATGTCTAGGTCACGTTTTCTATGTATTGTTGTTCATATATTTCAAAATAACATATCAAGCAGATTGAAATGGAAAATCAGAAAACTGGATCAAAAGAAAAGTGCTCATACATGACTCACATTTTGGTAATTGGCGACTTGATATTTTAAATACTGACATGATAACAAGACTTTTGAATTTTGAGAATACAACGTAAAATTCATTTTACTTACTTCCAACTGAAAGCTGCGAGAATTGGGGGGTGGTTCTGGCTGGAGCGGTGGCACCCCCACCACTAGCCCCCTCTCCACTCATCTTGATAGCAGCTTCTGAAATACAATAACACACAGGTACATTATAGTAGGGAGGGGGAGGTACAATGTAGTATAAATGCACTCTAATATGCCTTATGTCTTTCAGGTACCTGCTTGATAGACCCCTGAATATACCATATGCACCTTCAGCTTAATATTTATAATAATCAGTGATCTCCCCAGCATTGAAGCAAGTGGGCCATCACCCACCTGAGATTTTGAAAATAGGCTTGCACCCACCTGAAAATCAATTTGCACCCTCTTTAAAATGAGGAAAATCATGAAAAATGGGCATAATTTTACCAATTTTGGTCTGAATTGAGAAAATGAGAATTATGCAACCATTTGAGAAAAACTCCTGAGCAGAACACTGATAATATAACAGGTTATTGTCCTATACTTACCTTGTCATAAAATATTCTCATCGGTCTATGAGAGTGTAATATTGACATATTATCGGTGATATGTTATCATGTAGTTGAGCTAGGTAACTGGTCAACTCGTACCCAAGACAACTCGTACCCAAGACAACTCATACCCAAGTATATATTTTTGACTGGGCATGTGAATAGATATACATATTATAATTGTAACATACTGTTCAGAATAGTTTAAAGTTTGAAGAAGAATTTTCGGAAGAAATTGATTTAATTTTGTGACATTTTGAGCTGAGTGTCAATTTATATTGACTATTATTTTATATTGGTCACAGATTCAGGATGTTCGAGTGAAGAGACATATGTTTATTCCACATATTCATAATCATTTTTCAAAATATTGTATGTTTATGAGTGTTTGGAACAAGTGTCAGATCAAATGTTGTAATTATATTTATTTGTATATATGTTTGACAAAAAAATGTTGTGAACAAGCGCTTCAAGCACTTCTTTTATTTAATAAAAAAATGCTTTACTGATCCATTGAGAAAAAATGTCGTCTAAATTCAAAATAATATTGAGGCTTATTTGATTCACATTACAACCTGAAAGCATTACAAACTCAATTTTTTCCCCAATGTGCACCCATTATACTGAAAATAATCTTGGGTACGAGTTGTCTTGGGTACGAGTTGTCTTGGGTACGAGTTGACTAGGAAGCGTTGAGCTACACACACTTAATGGCCACTATACATACATGATATTTTGAGTTGCATAAAAACACTCTACTATACATTTGCATTTGGTGTTCATGAGCTACCCATTTGGCTTATCAGTAATGATTACGTTATTTGTTTTTATTTGTCTGTTACTTGTTAATGGTTTATGGGATGACTGTTAGATGTCAATAAGGTACTTTCAAAAATATACTTAACAATTCAATCATACAAACAGAGTATCTTATGCATTTCTAGGGGTTAGGTTAGTAGAGTGAACAAGACACACAGTGATAAATATCGCACTTTGAAGAGCAAACTGGTCTACCATGCAATTAACCCAGCATGGCCAAAACCTAATCAGACCTTGGCACTAGTCTGCTCTTGCATCTGTAAACATTTCAAGTTGACAAGGTTAGCGGTTTTCCTGCAATTTTGATGACAAGAATTTATTTGTAGTCTTGAACTTTGGGAAAATTTAGATAACATTGTTTGTGACCTAATTTGATGACCTTCGACCTTGAAAATTTCACTTTTTCAGACCTCAGTAGGTGTTTTGTAATTAAGCTGACCTAAATTTAAATCCAAAATATCAATTTAGAAAATCAACTTTTTTGACCTTTTGAACGTCACTGAAGGTGAACGAAAGGTCAAATCTGAAATCTAAGGTCAGATTTGAACTTCTGAGAACTTGTAGATGTTTTTAAAAAAAAATTTGGTCAATTTGGAGCAAGTTGAAAAATTCAAAATGGCCGCCAAATTGAAAAATTCAAAATGGCCACCATGTCATTCAGCCAGCATACCCAATACCTAATCAGATCTAGGCAATAGTCTGTTCTTGCATCTGTAAAAATTTCAAGTTGAACGGATAAGTGGTTTTCCTGGAATTTTGATGACAAGATTTGTTGAAAAATTCAAAATGGCCGCCACATAGTTTACCCAGCATGCCCTTAACCTAATCAGATCTTGGCACTAGTCTGCTATTGCATGTGTAAAAATTTCAAGTTGAACAGGTTAGCGGTTTTCTTGGAATTTTGATGACAAGAATTGATTTGTAGTCTCAAACTTTGAGAAACTTGGATAACATAATTTGTGACCTAGTTTAATGACCCTGACCTTCGACCTTGAAAATTTCACTTTTTCAGACATCAGTAGGTCTTTTGTAATTAAGCTGACCTAAATTTAAATCCAAAATATCAATTTAGATAATCAACTTCAGTGACCATTTCAAGGTCACTGAAGGTGAATGAAAGGTCAAATCTGTGACCTAGTTTAATGACCTTGACCTTCGACCTTGAAAATTTCACTTTTTCAGACCTCAGTAGGTGTTTTGTAATTAAGCTGACCTAAATTTAAATCCAAAATATCAATTTAGAAAATCAACTTTTTTGACCTTTTGAAGGTCACTGAAGGTGAACGAAAGGTCAAATCTGAAATCTAAGGTCAGATTTGAACTTCTGAGAACTTGTAGATGTTTTTTTAAAAAAAATTGGGTCAATTTGGAGCAAGTTGAAAAATTCAAAATGGCCGCCAAATTGAAAAATTCAAAATGGCCACCATGTCATTCAGCCAGCATACCCAAAACCTAATCAGATCTTGGCTATAGTCTGCTCTTGCATCTGTAAAAATTTCAAGTTGAACGGATAAGTGGTTTTCCTGGAATTTTGATGACAAGATTTGTTGAAAAATTCAAAATGGCCGCCACGTAATTCAGCCAGCATACCCAAAACCTAATCAGATCTTGGCTATAGTCTGCTCTTGCATCTGTAAAAATTTCAAGTTGAACGGATAAGAGGTTTTCCTGGAATTTTGATGACAAGATTTGTTGAAAAATTCAAAATGGCCGCCACGTAGTTTACCCAGCATGCCCTTAACCTAATCAGATCTTGGTACTAGTCTGCTCTTGCATCTGTAAAAATTTCAAGTTGAACAGGTAAGCAGTTATCCTGGAAATTTGATGACAAGATTTGGTTTATGTGCCGCCCGCACGCCCGCACGACCGCACGCCCGCCCAACAGCACAAGACGACGACAATATAGCACTTTTTCAAAGTGCGATAAAAAAGTCAAACTGGATGCTATTTTTCAAATTGGCTGCCTTATTAGGTAAATGATCAGAATATAAAGGATCCATTGGGCCCCTGTGCTCACAAGTGAACTGTTGCCAACTGACATAAACATTGGCAATGGTATTATAATGTAATACCATCCTGGTCATCTTTTTTTCATATGGATTAAATAATTCAATGTTAACATTAAGAAATCAGAAAGTTTAGAAAATTGCATTTTTGACAATTGTACAAAAGATACCTAAAATGAAAAGTACTATTCACCCATATTGCAACACCATTAATCTATACTAGCAACACTGAAAAATCAAGAAGATATACCAAAGTATAGGTTTGAAATCTGACTTTTCTTTTTGATGTCATACAGTGAAACATGTAATTCAGTCGAGCAGTTCTAGAAGTGGAACCCCTCTGTGAGCGGAACACTTTTCCAAGTCCCCAAACCAACTGACGTAAAGCGAAAATCTGTAAGTGGAACGCCTCCCAAATTGAACACTTTTTAGAAGTACCAAAGGTTTTCCATATAGACAGGTTCTACTGTATTTGAACTCTATACTTATGTCTATTACTCTATGTCTATAATTTTCTGCTTCTAGTTATTTTCTTGTATTCTATTTCGAAGGCATCCATTAAGAACATTATTGCAAAATTAGATGTTTTGCATTTTTTGTGTCATTTTTTATGATGTAATATTTTCATTCTCACCTGTGTTCTATAAGTGTCAGCTAACAGGTACGTATCTTTGATTGTTTACAACTCTTTTACATGGTAACCATGTATACCAAGATTTTTAGTTGTGGTCAATTGTACAACCTGAAAATATTAAAAACAAATACGTTATATGATATATACGAATCAGATTCCAGTGATCTCCCCAGCATTAAAGCAAGTTGGCACCTGAGATTTTAAAAATATGCTTGCACCCACCTGAAAATCCATTTGCACCCATAGCTTGAAATTGAGAAAAAATCATGAAAAATTTGCATATTTTGACCAATTTTGATCTGAATTGTGAAAATAAGAATTTTGCACCCACTTGAGAAAAAATCCTGCGGAGAACATTGGACCATTCCTTGTTATTTCATAAGTAGTAGATATCAAATTATGCATGTCACGTGTCTTCAATGTAATCAAATGTGTAGTTGTGATAGAACAGTTGTTTAAAGATGCAATTTAAATCTTCCGCAATAAATCACGATATGATGAGAGAAGTGTATGAGGTCAGCTCAGCTCAGCGTTGCTATCATTATTTGATTGTTGTCACCTTTTCTCATCATTTAACAAATCTGTATGGTTCATCTTCAATCATTTCGCACAGAGTGTATATGCTCTACATGGCATTAAAACAACAAGTGAAACGCAGTTGAGATTATTTGTAAGAAAGAGTTTGCACTCAGTTGCATCCTTTTAAGCAGGTGTACAGAATCCGTACCTCCTTCTTTCCCCTGCTATAACCAATTTGGGAGCGCCCGATTAAACTGAATCACGTGTAATGACTTAGACATGATTTCTGTCACAGTGTTGCGACAGCCAATCAGATTGCGAGTTCTTAATCGGGGAAATGCTAACTGCTTATCACAGGAGGTAAAAAGAAAGAATATATTCTGGATTTTGAAGCCCTGTGATCGGAGGATGACTCAGTTGAGAATACAAGAATTGCTTAACACTCAACTGAATATACAAGAATTACTGCACTCAATTGAGAATACTGTGTAGTGAAGAATAACTTTGCACTCAGTTTAGAATCTTGACAGTTTTGTTTTACTTCAGGCTCAAGGGCTATTGTGAAATGTAATCTTCACATATGTATTTGCATGTTATGTTCTATTTCAAGGTTTTTGAATTATGAGTACCTTATTAAACAAATATTATTGTTAATCAATAAATAAAAAAAACAGAATAGTTTTATCTATCTAAAGTATTGTCAGAATCTTATCCATTTCTCACCCCTTTAACAGTTTAAAAATGAGTGCAAAGGGATTTTCAACATGACCAACTGACTTCATTAAATAAACGTGTATGTAGAATACCTCCATAAGTAGAACGCTAATTCAAAGTCATGATGACATTGCAAATCTTCATCCCTAGTTCAGAGAACTTTCTAACACAGAAATTTATAGCGATTCCCCCGAACTCTTAAGTGGCATATTAATGTATGAAATGAACATGTTAGAAGGGATAGCACATAAGGCGTTGACAATTTTACAGAATTGATTATTTTGAACAAACCAGGAAGTCAAATTGTTTTCACTATACATGTATGTTGTATTGTATGATTTATTTTTGTTTACCTACCAATGCAGGTGAACAATCAATACCACTAAGGTAAATAAGACACTAGACAGTATATCCCATATTGTCTTGGGTCTTAAATACATACAAGTACCATACAAGTGCATGTCTAAACTAAAAGGACAGAACTAGAAGCCCCTCTATAAAGGGAGCTCTGACAGATACACCAAGTCACACCAAATCATTTTGCATAAGTTGTGGACCACTCCATTAAACACCCTGTTATATGTTCATTATTCAGTACTATTCCACCACCTAGTAAGACCATGTGGTGAGAAACGTGTTTATTTGGGTGAAATTAACCTTGTAAGACTTCAAAGCAATATATCATGTCATAGAGATATGATATGATGCTTTCCTAGTTGGCAAATGGTAGATAACAGAATTAACATAACATAGATCATATAATAACTTGATTTTGTATGTTGAAGAACTGCAGTTCTTAAAATATGAGATGTCTTATTTTTGTTACATTTGGCCATCTGACGCCTCTGTCTGGAGCCTATTACCCTTCTATTATGTCTTCCATAAATGATTCAAAAACCAATCAACTGGGCTTAATTATACATGATAGGGGAGTTAACGTTTTATAGCCAAAATGTCAATAATAATACCAATAAGGTCAATAAGATATTATGAGGGGCCCATGACTTCATATGAGATCGATGAAAAACAGTACAAAAATATTTGATATTCATCTAATCCCTCTTCATATTTCAAAAGCAAACATTTAATCAATTTCTGACCATGATTTTCTTAGACCCCTAATAGACTGTCTGAGAAATAATATGCCATAGCAGTATAAATATTGAAACATGTTTACACTAGTGACTGAAATTGTTCTCATCAAGGGTATGTACAGTGTCAACAGTTGGGACTATAATGTTTTGGCGGATCACAAGACTTATATAGATATATGTATATACATAATGTATACTGAATCAATTTAAAAACAAAGCCTGGTCCAAGAAATTTTACCCTGAAACCCATCAGCTAACCCCACTAACCTTCAACTCTTACAAATCATTTGGAGCTTTCATGGCCTTTAATCATAGATAGTGGGACGTTCTACTGTAAGCTCATCAGTGTTCTCCCCAAAAAAAACTTTCAACTGGGTGCAAGATTTCAAGTCTGAAAAAATCAGCACTTGCTACGCTCACAATATCTCAGTGTAGGTGCTTACTTCACTCATTTTTCAAATCAGAAGTTGAAGTGCAGATTCCAACTGGGTGCCAACTGGGGGGCCTTTGGTTTCAAGTAGGGGGAGCCCCCGGTAAAAGTGACATGGGGAGATCACTGCTCATTATATACATTAGGTTATGTAAGTAAAATTACCATTCCATTTCTTCATGGCTATTGCGCATTTGTCTCACGATCCAATTGGTCCATTCGTGAAAATAACCCTGAGTGTGTATTGTACCGTTTTATGAATTATGCGATGGTCTTACATTTGCAGTATTATCTGGTCAGAATAGCAAAATAGAGGTATCAATAACTTTTTCCTATTATCATTTAGGGTGTTATGTTAGGCTTGTATGACTGCCAAAATTGGATAATCATGATACTATGTTCATAACTAAAAAATATCAATATTTTTTTTAAATTGCTTTCATGTCCTCTTGATATGCTGGAAATGTAGTCATGAATATTTGAAAAAAAATTCACAATTATTGACAAAGAAACTATGTTCAACTTCTATAGCTAGAAACTATATAAACATGCCATACTTGAAGTCAATAATATAATAGATTCAAGATCAGAAATTAAAAGTGCAATGGATTGTTATATACCGTAGATAAATATGGTAACATAAACCTGTAGACACGAAAATGTCACTATCAGTAAATGAGGTCAAAATCCACTCAGTTAGTTATGAACTTATTAAATGCAGTTTGAATCACTGGTCAGGTGGGGAGAAGAGTGTCAGAAAATAGGTTATTTCATGAGATAGCAAGAATATTGCTTTGGCACTGTGGCATTCATAGCCTAACTATCTCTTGAGGGAGGTTGTTACTCCTCTCAAGCATTTGATAAGGAAGAACTCTGGTCAATAATATGTGGCTTACGTTCACTCCACGAAAAATCTTTCCTGGGATTTAATAATCTATACATATAATGTGTTATATTGTGTTCTAATCTATTTACCACATCATTTTAAAGAATACTTATTATGTAACTAAATATATGGTCATATGGAAAGGACGATTCTCGGTTTGGAGAACAGTCTCCTGGGCTAATAATTTTTTCATGAAAAATATAGAAATATTACCCAAATCAAACTATGAATATCCGAAAGAGGACATTTAAATCTACAAGATGTAAAAATAACAAATTGGTCTGAAGCAGGGATAAGGTTCAATTAGACCGATTCAATAAAATACAAGTCTCGATTTGGGGAAAGAAGTTCATCAGTGTACTGCGCTAATATTTTTTTGCGAAAAATCTAGAAATATTACCCAAATTAAATTATGATTATTCAAAAGAAGACATTCAAATCTATATTATGTAAAAAAAATCAAATTTGTCCGAAGCAGGGATAATGCTCATTTAGATTGATGAACTTCGTTCTCCAAACCGAGAATCGTCCTTTGTATCTTTATTTTGGCAATACTCAAATCCAATATAAAACTGTACATATTAGAAAGAACAAGACTGTTGTTTTGTACAACAAAAAAGAAAAGAAAAGAAGGCTGTTACGCTTATACAGGTACTTGTAATGCAGTGCATACAGTATGTCATTAAGAATTTATGGCTTTTGAATTAAAGTAGGGCAGATCAGAAAACTTATTATCAACATGTAATCAATAAAAACAACATACATAAAATGTAAACATGACGTTACTTTTTTTACTTATAACTTTATATTATGTATATGTTAGTTGTACATTCTATTTTAGACAGTCTCATGATAATACTTATTCTTCATTTTTGTGTTATCATTCTCTTAAGTATTAAACGATTTATGAAGCTAGCACAACAATACACAATAGTGTGCCAATAAGATTCCCAAATATATGATTGATTAAATGGTGGCTCAGTATAGGCTGACAAAAGAAAATAATTCTTGTGAGAAAAGAGAGAATTCTCATGAGAGGACATTGATGTCATAAGCAACTAGACATAGAAGGGCAGACATGAAAGGGTGCAAGTGCAACTGGCACTGCGCTCTTCAAACAAGTTAACGAAACAGACCCATTTCCATTTCAGGAAAATATTCTCCTGTTTTGGAGGTTGTGAAACTGTGCTTGTAAAAAACAATGAATAACTGTATTGTAGTAACAATCCTCCTTACAATTTCCTTGACAACTTTGGCTCTGAAAAATACAAAATTTATATGACATTCACCATGTATGCGATAGGTCCTTTGACACCCAAGGTTACATTGTGAAACTCTGTCAAACAAGACAATTAACCGATGTAAATTGTACATAAATCATTGTGCTTATTGTGGTTTCCACAGTCTGTTACACTGCTTCAAAGCAACCAGTAGAACGTAAAAAAATAAGAAATCTTAAGACCATTGTGCAATGATATATGGAAAAACATATTCAATTCATACTGCATATCAATGACATTTGTATATTTCAGATTATTTAGTGTATAGTGCAATAAGCCTGTGCCCTCCTGTAATTTGAAGTCTATATACCATGTTATTTTTTTCAGAATTAACATGGCAGAGAACCATCAAAATATAAGAGGTTACAGACTTTCATGGGCGTAGCGCTATTTTTCTATGTAGTACGCCACCACCACGGGAACAAGAGTTGAGTGAACCAAAAAACAACCATTCAGGGGGGTCTGGGGAAAATTTTGAAATTTGGTTGTATTTGGAGCGAATTTGCAACCATCTGGTACACCTGTGCGTACCCAGCGTACCGGGCGCTAAGCCCATGACTTTATAAGCCAATTCACAAGCAATCCAAGATATACTTTTGTGTGCAATATAAATATATTTTTACATATATTATTGTACAATAATTAGGTTCAACTGGTTGCTTTGAACATGGGCTTTCAAGAGATCCATTGAATGCCCTTGTTTTGAAGCAGTGTAACACACTGTACTCATGACAAGGTAAAGGCTATCGCAAACTGCACTTGTTCATTTGTCACACAAGCATGTCAAAGGACCTATCGTATACTGATAAGTAGATGCATGGTGAATATCATATAAATTTCTTATTTTAAAGGGCCAAAGTTATCAAGGAAATTGAATAGTCAATAAAAGTTATATAGTCTGTTACACTGCTTCAAAGGCAAGCAGTTGAACCTGAAAATTAAGAAATCTATCAATATATAGAAAAATATATATTGCACATGAATGACATTTGTATATTTCAGATTATTTAGTGTTCAGTGTAATAAGTCTGTGCCCTCTTGTAATTTGAGGTCTGTCCGCCATGTTATTTTTTGAGAATTAACGTGGTAGTGAAGCATCAAAATATAAGAGGTTACAGACTTTATGAGCCAATTTACAAGCAATCCAACATAAACAAATGTCATTCGTGTGCAATATGAGTATATTTTTTTCTATATTATTGCACAATATTACCATATTATTTAGATTTCTTATATTTCCGGTTTAACTGCTTGCCTTTGAAGCAGTGTAATAGACTGTGTAGTCGGTATATGAACTCACATTCTGAAAGAAATACAAAAGGTATCTTATCTCAGGGGTTTCATTAGAATTTCTCACAACATGCTAAATAAATGAAAACAACAGGCAAAACATGGAAAAGTTGAAATCCCCGAAAACAACAGGCGATTTAGTGAAAACAAATGGTGAAAATTGCCTGCTAATAATGAAACCCCTTTTATCTGTAGCAAGTGAGCCAAAGCACAATGCTACTAAAGATAAAGCCTTGAAAGAAGGTAATAAAATGTAAAAATCATTTTTTATTTTCACTTCAAGAATTCAATATTTCAGTTTTGTCAATGTCATATCCCCTAATTTTTTCATAGTGATGTTTCAACTGCGACATTATTTATGCCGTCAAATCTATGTATACCTAAATATGTGTGTTTTTAAAAGTAGTTTAGATACATACCTTTAAGAAGAATCATGTTGTGTACTATTAGAAACAGAAGTAAAGCGAGAAATGAAACAACAACAGGGCACGTAACTAAAATTTTGACCAAAAATTTCCACCATTACAGAATGTATCACGTGACTTTGACGTAAAAAATACACGAACAGCCCGAAATAGATTTACAATAACAAGTCTAATATTGGTTAAATATGCCCAAAATAACAATAGAATTATCATATTAATAATATTTCATATTGTATTTTCTACTAAATTCTTTTGATCTCTGAAATAACGTTAAAGAAGTTTTAAAAATGAAGATCTAATTGGCAGATATGTGGTGTGTCATATGAAAAGCATGGCGGAAATGAAAGTAAAACATGTTGTTGCGGATTCTGGGGCGTTTCTACGTAATGCAGCCTTACACGTAAGTATTTTTGTTAAAATACATTACTTATCATGTTATCGATAACTCCCTGTTATGAAGAAACCGCATTTATTCGTATTATCTGGGAAATCAACAAAATGAATTGTTTGGTAAATTTTTTAGATTTTTACCAAAAATGAAAAAGATGGACATGAATTCAAATTGTAGATATCAACCAGTTGTTACTGAAGAACACCTGACAATGACTTTTTAAAATGTCTAGGTTTTACCTTCCTCCATTGTTGTATCTATTATATTCTGGCCTTGTGCAGACTTTTACCAGCCATGAAGTGGGGAACAAAAATAAACATCAACCATCAAAAGTCGTCACAATGAGCTAAATTCTAAGTTTCATGTCTCAAACTCTCCCAAGCGGTAGAAAAATAATTCCTATTTAGTAGCACAATAAATGAATCCAAAACAGTGGCGTAGCGTGGGTATTTTATGAGTGTACGCCACGAGTGAGCGAAGCGAACGAGCTTTGAGGGGGGGTTCTTTCCCCCAAGAAAATTTGAAAAGAGATTGCATTTAAAGCGTTCTGGGGCGTTTTAAGGTGCTATGGAAGTTAATAGGAAATGACAAAACAAAAAATGTCAAAACCATGCTGGATTTTGAAAATTTTTGAACCAAGATGACAGAGTTCTGTTTGGACCTCCAGTCAGTTTAACTAGTTCCACACATCAGTTACGTGACTGGGAACACAATGGAAATGGTCAGAATGACCATAAACATGATGAAATATCCTTTTCAGCCCTCTGAAAATGTGACTGAAAAATAGCTCAGAGTAGGTGCTCAGGAAAGGTCACTGAACAGAATCTTTTGACTTTTTCAGAAAATGTGCCCAATATATTGCTCTAAATGATACAATTTAAAAAATTTCATATCATTCTTAGAAAAAGAAAAAAATGAAAAAACTGAATTTAAAATCGATCTATTTTCCTTTTAACTACAGCCATTGTTGTTTCAGAAGATTTTTTCAAATTTCAAAGATAGTATTATTTAGAGCAATATATTAGACACATTTTCTGAAAAAATCAAAAGATTCTGTTCATTGACCTTTCCTGAGCACATACTTTTAGCTATTTTTCAGTCACATTTCAGAGGACTGAAAAGGTTATTTCATCATGTTTATGGTCATTCTGACCATTTTCATTGTGTTCCCGGTCATGTAAATGATATGTGGAACTACTTAAACTGACTGGAGCTCCAAACAGAACTCTGTTATCTTGGTTCAAAAAATTTTCAAAATCCAGCATGGTTTTGACATTTTTTGTTTTGTCATTTCCTGTTAACTTCCATAGCACCTTAAGATACGAAATTTCGACTCCGAAAAAATGGATTAATAAAGTGTTAGGCCAATTACTTCAGAATATCAAACGTAGGTCATTTCAATATTAAAAATTCACTTTTCTCTAAATTTTGAGAGTACGCTATGGTGTTTTATGCGTATATGACGCTCTGTCACTGCAAAACTTCATACCTGCAAATGATGGATACATCCCTACCATATCAAATTCTCCTTGCGGCGTAATCGGGCTCCAAAATCACCTCAACGTTTGAAGAGTTGGCATTAACATGTGAATATCCACTTCAACTTTTTAAGTTCTTATTTGTCATTATGGACACAAATTCTACTATATTTGGACTTACTAGGAAGGAGAAAATAGAGCACTGAATACACTGAGGTAAGAATTTATTACATGTGCGACAGCATGTAATTTTCATAGCTATAGTAATTCTTTATGTTCCCCACTGTACTTGTATTTTTTATTATCTCAATGAATGAAATTCAGTAAGGATATAGTGAAACCCTCCATCTGTCTGTCTGTATGTCCGGAAGATAATTTTATAACTAGTTTATGCCAGGGTGACATGGATTTTCTTCATATTTGAGGGAAAGATGTACCACGGTGTATAACCCAAACGCTCCTACATGCACGATGGAGCGTTTCATTACTGAAATTAAACAAAGAAACGCTCCGGAGTAGAAAAACTGTCTGGCGGGAATGATGAGCCATCTGACGATTTCCCCAATAATGGGAATACGAGGTATGAGTTCCATATTTCGAGTATACCATTCGATGGGTGTGATATTCATGTTGTACTTGGCTGGCTGTTGACGGTTGAAGCAATTAGGAAGAGCTGTACGAAGCAGTATAGTTATCAAAATTCAAAAACGTATTTGTCATTCTACCGGTCAAAACCCCTTTTGTCGATACATGTGATTAGTTGAGCCAAGATTAGAGCACCAACGTATATTTTAGTCAAATTCCAATGCTTCAACGCACTATACATTATCGTAATAGTGATTTAATGACCGAAAATCCAGTCTTAAAAATGATGACATTCTCATACTCAAGAAACGCTCCGATCTGGTTAACACAGTGAACTGGAAACGCTCCGGTAGTCTAGATCAGTTTAGGAAATATATAGCTTGCCTTTCCCTTTCAGGAAGCGAAAGACGATCTATTATACCCCTTGGCATCAAAAGAAGAAAGATTAATTCACATATAAATTTTAGTTTTTTTCTATAGTTTTATGATTTAGCACACATGTAGGCATGACATAATCTAATGTAGTCTTAAATCAGCTAGTTGCACATTTAGCACCACCAGGTTCAGATGTTTCAATTTGCCTAACAAGTACAACATGTTTTTGAGAGATAGATTCGATTCGGAACTCTTCTCTAATAATCTGAAAATGATATCAAAACAAAATGGTAAGAGCGTTTCTAAAATTGTGTTCTAAATCGACGGAGCGTTTGAAAACAAGCGATTTCTCGAGAACAAATAATGGATTTGGACTGGGATTTTAGGAAATGAGAATATACGAGTTTGTGATCTACTACTTTAACAGAAAGATTAACGTTTTCATAGAAATACTAGTTTAATTCGTAATTTGTGGTCAAATCGTCATCTTCAGATTCGTTCGATCTACACTACGGAGCTTTGATCAAGCAATATAACAGTTTACCACCAGAAGTTGAATAAATAAGATCTTTCCTTACGGTATTGTTCATCGAATGGTACATAATATTTCACCATAACATATGATATGTAAGAGAAACGAGAGAAACAATACTTACGGTCATAGTGGAATCTTCATTAGCCGCCATTTTATTTCGCTCCGGAGCGTTTCCGCGTAAATGAAACGCTCCGTCGTGCATGTAGGAGCGTTTGGGTTATACACCGTGTGTACACGTATGCATAGTTTTACCATGGTAGCCCTTGGTTTTACACTAAAAAGATTTTTTCACCTAATGTGGGATTTCACAATAATTTCCTGATCTTTTCAAAGTAAGGCTATACTATACTCCCAGTATTTTTCACATGCAATTTTGTTTCGCGCTTTTTCGGAATTGTAGGGAAATCACGAAAATTAATGTTTGAAAGTGTCAATTTAATCCCTGGGGTTTTGTGATTTTTTTATTCCCTGAAACTCCATAAGGCTTCATGTCATTTTTCTAGTGACACAAGGTCTTGTAACCACAAGGTTCTTCCCACTTATTTATTCATGAGAGAGGCATATCTACTCAAAGGTATTACCTACAGTGACATGAATATCTAATTTGGCAACTGAGTGTGACCACTGACCAGACAGAATATTCCCTCACAAATAATCCAAGTGTCATATTGGAATGATAATTTTTGTATATAAATTTGAATTGGGCATCTGTACAAATGAACATTGATTAAATATACAAATATACTCATAATGTTAAAACATGAGCCACTAAGAAAAAAGAGTTGTCTATGAAAAATATTTAATAAAATTTACAATTTAAGGGGGATTGAGAAGGTGCATTTTAGGCAATTATTTATTCCTCCTTCATGTACTGATTTATTTGGAAAATGCACGGACTAAGAACATCAGTGAATCTTGATTGGGTCAAACTATTTCCACTTCTGATGATCTAGAGGGCAGCACCTGTAGCCAGACTGTGATTACAAGACCCAGTTGTTAGAGTAGTTAGTCCAGGGTCTTGAAGCAAGACTATGTAAAACTAGAGCTTTGTAAGAGCTATAACTCCAAGAACACATAATGGATTTGTTTTCATATTACTAGGATAAGTTGGTTCAATTCCAGATCTATTTTCTTGAATTTCTAGCTTAGTTTCTTTTTGGGAGCCCAAATTATAGTCAAAATGGGATAAAATGGCCACAAAATCAAGACACTGAAAAACAAAGGTCTAACAATTCTAAATCCATTACTGTAACATGCGTCCTCTACCCTTTAACTTATGGAGAAGAAGATAACATTATTGTACACTATATACAAAAAAAAAGTCATACAACTTGTGAAACTACTTATGATTTTTACAGGATATTGGAGAAAAGGTCTATTCAATACCAGAAGTAGTACAAGAAATACGTGACAAAGAGACGAAACAGCGACTCCAAGTCCTTCCTTATGAGTTAGTGTTCAGGGAACCATCCACACAGAGCATTCACATAGTGTCTGAGTTTGCTAAGAAGACCGGGGATTACCGCAGCCTCTCTGCCGTTGATATCAAAGTTCTTGCACTTACTTATCAGCTAGAGAAGGAACAAGTTGGGATTGATCACATAAAGACACAACCAGAGAGAAAGGTACATTTTCAGACTGTTTCCCTGTGTTTAACAGACGCAGGCAGACAGCATTGGTTTTTATGGCTAGAAATTCGAGTCTATGAAAGGCCAAAGTTTATTCTAGTTCTATTTTAACATTATGGTATAGATTCTTAAGTTTGTAAAGTCATAGATGACTAATTCTCATGCCTAGGAAATCTCCAGTGATGAGCTTTGTGGATTATGGAACTACATACTGTAGTAGCACTGGAGTCTTTCACTCAGTCAGTTGCAATTTTGATACTACTGGGTCGTGAATTCGTACGATCTTTAATCTGATCCGAATAAATTTTGTCATGGTAATGATGCATTTTGAGATTAATCTTGGAATTAATTAGTTTATTTGTGAATTCAAATCTTTGGGATGAATTTTATCCAAATCCCAATCCACCTGCTTAGATTTAATTTCTTGGGATAATTTTTTGGATCGTACCAATTAACAGCTCCTGATAGTCAAACTCAATATTTTTGTATTTCAGGCAACTTGGACTTCAAGCAAGAGAACTCTTGAAAAACCATCACAAATAGCAGGTTTTTATCTCAGGGGTGTACAGGTGAGTGAAGTCATTCCAATATGTTTTCCATATATAGTAAAACCTGTATATCCAAACACCTGGCTAATCTGAACACCTCGCAATCCGAATGTTTTTTTTCGGTCCAATAGACTAGATGTGAGTAGAAATAATCTTGATTTACGTCATTAAATATTCAAACTTCAGTCAAACTGATGTCATATTTGACACATGTACAGGGTGTCCAAAAAAACAGGACCGTAAGAAAGTTGAATAACTCAGTCAATTTTGCATATTTTGCCTTGAATTATTTAGTTCATTCAATGTGAATTTTGTTCTGAAAGTTTGATGATAATCTGTTTATTGTGTCAAAAACTACAGTCCTTTACAAAACATGCTCAAAGTGGGCACTTCTCTCTATGCACAAACGAATCCTGCGAACAAAGTTGTTAATGACCCTTACCTATACACGTTAATGTGGATGGTAAATATTGGGGTAGTTATTGCCCTCTTAAGATTGTTAGGGGCCTGTCAGTGTACACATTGGCTTTGAGAAATCCTCAAACTAAGATAAAAATTTGGGGGATTTAGATCAGGCGATTTGAGCTGCCCATATGGTTTGCGTTCTGCAACTGATGAGCTGAACACCAAAGCATTGCCTAAACCATTTCAGCATATCATTTGCAGTGTTGGGGTGGTATTGGCTTGTTGAAACCACTGCTTAATTATCTCCTTAGATGTCCCTTCTGGTGCTTAGTGACCTCCAAAACTTGGGGAGAACTTACTGGTCCTTGTTCATGGTGATAGCAAGTCCCCAGTCACCTTTGAACCAAAAGGGACTCCAATGATTCCATGTTTCCTCATTGCCACCCAGGGAGTGCATTGTTCAGAATGCAATGGATGCTGTAACACATCATCAGGAGGATGTAAGCCCCAGTAGCAATTGTTCTTGGAACAAACTTGTCCATTCAGAAAGACATGTGTGTAGGAGGATCATCAACAGCTTTGTTCGCCGGATTGAATTGTGCATAGAGATGAGATTTGCACATTTGAGGCATGTTTTGTAAGGAGCTGTAGTTTTTGACTCAATTGGTAGATTATTATCAGACTTTCACAACAAAATTCACATTGAATGAACTAAATAATTTTGAAATGTCAAGGCAAAATATGCAAAATTGACAGAGTTATTCAACTTTCTTACGGTCCTGTTTTTTTTGGACACCCTGTACATGTAAAAGTACATCCCGAAATATGGTTTCGAAAATTGTTTATCAACTTTGAAAATTTAATTTTTTTTGAAAATGTGACTCCTAGTTCGGGGAGATTCCCCATAGACCCCATGTTATAAAATCACAAAAAGTAAAAATCTTTTTTTTTTTGTATTGGACATATAACATTTTATTTCACTGGATATATTTCAATTTGCATAACTATTATATACATAAGGGACAGGGTGATATGAAAATTGAACCACTAAAACAGATGAATATTTAAGTTAAAGGGAACTTTCTTCTATACCCGCCATGCTATATGACCCGAACAATCCACCTGGCGGTGAAACTGGTAACTACCTACTCACATCTCAGTTATTTTTTCCTTACATAGACTCCCATGTTAAAAAACATTAAAATGTGAACATTGAACAGTCATATTTAAAAAATAAACCAGTCTAATCTGAACAGTTCATCACATTTTTTACACAATATTTCTCAAATATTTGAAAGTTATGTGGTCAAAGGAACTATAAATATTTATTCAGAATACGTTCACATTTCTTCAAAATCAAAAATCTTGGAAAAGTGCTTAATTAAATATGTAACTTTCTTATGTTTCAGAATAAAATAGTTGATGGTGACCAGGGGTCTGAGGAATGTAAAGATGATGACAGTAATGACTGCAAACAACCTGGTGATATCACTTCTAAACAGGAGCAAACTGATCATAGCACTATAGAGGCCCAAACTGAGAATCTTACACTAGAAAACAACCAAACACAACACCCAGATAAAGACACTGTTACAGAGAAGGATAAAACTAATACAGAAAGTCAAACAGACAGAGACACTATAAAACCTGAAGTATCAGACTCTACAGTTTTAACACCAAAAACATGTGAAAATGATAATGAAAATAATGAAACACTTAAATTAGAAAATGATGTTGATGGAGCACTGATTAAAGAAGGAGATATCAAAGAAGAAGAAGAAGATGATGAGAGTGACGAAGAAGCTGAAAGTGATGACGATGATGATGATGCTGGCTGGATTACACCTAGTAATATTAAGAGAGTCAGAGAGGCCATGGGTGATAAGAATGTTGAGAAGGCTTCAGTAGAAGTAGGCTGTCTCACAACTGATTTTGCAATGCAGGTACATCTAACGCTGTTGCCATTTTCATTTCAAAACTTCGCACCATTTTTAAAAAGTACTTAAGTTTTGTCCGTAAACTAACTCTATTGTTATCTTTCTCTCAGAGGTTTAGAGTTGGTGCAAAATATATTAAAAATTAAAAAGTGATTTAATACTTAAGATAATAAAAAATATTTATATAATATAACTGTTTATATTGCTTCAGAATGTGCTAATCCAGATGGGACTGAATGTGATATCTGTAGATGGCATGTTGATACGCAAGGCTAAGAGCTATGTACTGCGATGCTTTGCTTGCATGAAGATCACAACGTTAATGATGAAAGAGTTCTGTCCCCACTGTGGTAATGCAACCCTCCAGAAGCTGGCTATGTCTGTGGATGATGAGGGGGTCGTCCATTATCATTTCTCAAAGCGCAGACAACATAACATAAGAGGAATGAGGGTGAGGACTTCATCCAGTGTCTGCTTCATCTTATTCAACCTTTGCCTTACCTTATTTATCACATATTTTTTCCTGGATTTTTTATGGCAATTTTTCAAATGTTATATTGTCACCGTCTTGTCATTGATGGGTGTGCACCTGTTTGCCTGTGGGTGGGTGGATGGGTATGTGGGTGCCATATCCAAATATACTTATAAATCTTGCCTTCAAAATTCTCGCAGATGCAAAGCAAACTAGTGCCAAGATCTGATTAGGTTTTGCATGCTGTGTACATTACTTGGCACTGGCAGCCATTTTAAAATGTTCCATAAATCTTGTCATCAAAATTCTAGGAAAACCACTTATCCGTTCAACTTGAAATCTTTACAGATGCAAGAGCAGACTAGTGCCAAGATCTCATTAGTTTTTGGGCATGCTGGATATGAGGCAATATTTGAAAGAATATATAAAATATGTGTGAATAATTTGAATGACTTCCTATTTAAAGTCATCATTATTTCATCAATTTTAAATTAATATGTCTTATAAGTATCATGAAATCTATCTTAAAGGCAGAATCAGAAATACTTGTAAAAGGAATAAAAAAAAGTGAAAGCAACATTTTCAATTGATGTACTGACATTTATTTCAACATAATTATCTCAAAAAACATTCATGTTATGATACAGTTGTCAGTTTTCCCTGCTATGGATCAAGTGTGAACTGAGGGAATTTCTAGAAATACAGATATTTGAAATGGTTGCTCACTACATCTGTTTCTACCTTTAACATATATAGTGCAGTCAGTTATGACAATAAAACCCTTGAATTGCACTTGCTATATATAAAGCACAATTTTTTGACCTAAGTATCATTAATGCATATATTTTTGATATCTAACAAAGTGGTGTTGAAAATTGGCCCAAGTTGAAAATAGCAGTCATCGAAAAATTTGCATATTTACATTGAGCCCCATGTTAATTTATCAATCTTCAAAAGACCCCCTGCAGTACAGTTCTATAGAAATAAAGCCCATATTCCCAGGATGTTACAATATCCTGATTATCTTCAAAATAAAAAGGGTTAAATTTTTTCTTTTTCCTATTTCCAAAGATATTGGCGTTTGAATTTCGGAAATTCCCCATTGGCTGCCATTATAAACGGCTATCAATATGGCTTTGCTAAACTGTCCTTTTCTCAAAAAGTCCACTGTGAAATTTTCTAATATTGCAGATTTCTATAGTTGATATATTGATTTAAAAAAAATCCAACAGGTACATTTCTAAAAATTTCTAATTTTTGATATATTTAGTCATTAAAAACTATAAAAACCTATATTGAGCCCTATGTTAATTTATCAATCTTCAAAAGAACCCCTGCAGAACAGTTTTAGAGTAATAATGCTCATTCTCCTAGTATGTTACAATAACATGATTATCTTCAAAATAAAAAGGGTTAAATTTTTTCTTTTACCTAATTTCAAAGATATTGACGGTTGAATTTTGGAAATTCCCCATTGGCTGCCATTATAAACGGCTATCAATATGGCTTTGCTAAAGTGTACTTTTCTCAAAAAGTCCACTGTGAAATTTTCTAATATTGCAGATTTCTATAGTATTTAAAAAAAAATCAAACAGGTACATTTCTAAAAATTTCTTATTTTTTATATATTTAATCGTTAAAAACTATAAAAACCTATATTGAGCCCCATGTTAATTTATCAATCTTCAAAAGTGCTCATTCTCCTAGTATGTTACAATAACATGATTATCTTCGAAATAAGAGGGGTTAATTTTTTTCTTTTACCTAATTCCAAAGATATTGATGTTTGAATTTTGGAAATTCCCCATTGGCTGCCATTATAAAACGGCTATCAGTATGGCTTTGCTAAAGTGTCCTTTTCTCAAAAAGTCCACTGTGAAATTTTCTAATATTGCAGATTTATATAGTTGATATATTGATTTTAAAAAAATCAAACAGGCACATTTCTAAAAAATTCTTATTTTTGATATATTTAGCCGTTAAAAACTGTAAAAACCTATATTAAGCCCAATGTTAATTTATCAATCTTCAAAAGACCCCCTGCAGAACAGTTTTAGAGTAATAATACCCATTCTCTCAGTATGTTACAATAACATGATTATCTTCAAAATAAGAAGGGTTAGAGTTTTTTCTTTTACCTAGTTCCAAAGATATTTGCCTTTGAATTTTTGAAAATACCCCTTGGCTGCCATTATAAACCACTATCAATATGGCTTTCTAAAGTGTCCTATTTTCAAAAAGTCCCTTATGGAATTTTCTAATATTGTAGATTTGTATGGTTAATATGTTGAACATATATATATATACATATGTTAAAAAAATCGAACAGGTACCTTTCTGAAAAGTTCTTATTTTTTAATATATTTAGCCATTTAGTTGAAGATTGATAAACTAACATGGGGCACAATATTTTTATTTTTTAATGGCTAAATATATTAAAAAATAAAATAAATTCTGAAATGTGCATGTTTGATTTTTTCTAAATCAACATATTAATTATAGAAATCTACAATATTAGAAAATTCCATAGTGGACTTTTTTTAGAAAAGGACACTTTAGTAAAGCCACATTGATAGGCGTTTATAATGGCAGCCAAATTGATGTTTTTTCCAAAATTCAAACGTCTATATCTTTGGAACTAGGCAAAAGAAAAATGTAATCCTTTTTATATTAAGAGAGTTGTGTTATTGTAACATCCTAGGAATATGGACTTATCACTTTTGAACTGCTCTGCAGGGGATCTTTTGAAAATTGATAAATTATCACTGGGCGCAATATAGTTTTTAACGGCTAAATATATAAAAAATAAGAAATTTTAAGAAATGAACCTGTTTGATTTTTTTAAATCAACATATTAATTATAGAAATGTGCAATATTAGAAAATTTCACAGTGGACTTTTTGAGAAAAGTACACTTTAGCAAAGCCATATTGATAGCCGTTTATAATGGCAGCCAATGGGGAATTTCCAAAATTCAAACGTCAATATCTTTGGAATAAGGTAAAAGAAAAAAATTAATCGCTCTTATTTTGCAGATAATCATCTTATTGTAATATACTAGGAGAATGAGCATTATTACTCTAAAAGTGTTCAGCAGGGAATCTTTTGAAGATTGATAAATTAACATGGGGCTCAATTAGGGCTGCCATCATTAGTCGGAACGTCGACTTGTCAGTCAAAATGCAAGTTCGACAACGAAGTCGACAAAAATTCCCGTCATGTCGACAAACGATATCAATACTTACTTGAAAATATCCAAATGGCCCCAATACATTTCAATACACATTTCAACGTGTTATGTGCGCGTATTCTGCGGAAATATTGTTCACATTCATTTCATTTTCAAAAAATAAATTCACCCGGAAGTTCCCTTCATGACTTCTCTTCTCTCTTGCGAGACGTTGTACGAGATTTCGCCCGAGCAGTCGAAATAAATCCCGGTCGAAACATTGCAGGTATTTGTCCCATTTTCGTCTATAATATTCTATTAACTTGGCATTTAGTAACAATATTAGGCAATTACTTCCCGATGATTTTTTCTCCCTGGAAAGTTCGATTGTCGACAATATTTTCGACAGCAGAGTTCGACTGTCGACACTGACATTTGAGTTCGATGGCAGCCCTAGGCTCAATACAGGTTTTTATAGTTTTTAACGGCTAAATATATCAAAAATAAGAAATTTTTAGAAATGTGCCTGTTTGATTTTTTTAAAATCAATATATCAACTATAGAAATCTGCAATATTAGAAAATTTCACAGTGGACTTTTTGAGAAAAGGACTCTTTAGCAAAGCCATATTGATAGCCGTTTATAATGGCAGCCAATGGGGAATTTCCAAAATTCAAACCTCAATGTCTTTGGAATTAGGTAAAAGAAAAAAAGTAACCCCTCTTATTTTGAAGATAATCATGTTATTGTAACATACTAGGAGAATGAGCATTATTACTCTAAAACTGTTCTGCAGGGGGTCTTTTGAAGATTGATAAATTAACATGGGGCTCAATATAGGTTTTTATAGTTTTTAACGGCTAAATATATCAAAAATAAGAAATTTTTAGAAATGTACCTGTTTGATTTTTTTAAAATCAATATATCAACTATAGAAATCTGCAATATTAAAAAAATTCACAGTGGACTTTTTGAGAAAAGGAGACTTTAGCAAAGCCATATTGATAGCTGTTTATAATGGCAGCCAATGGGGAATTTTCAAAATTCAAACGTCAATATCTTTGGAACTAGGTAAAAGAAAAAATTTAACCCTTCTTATTTTGAAGATAATAATGTTATTGTAACATACTAGGAGAATGAGCATTATTTCTTTAAAACTGTTCTGCAGGGGGTCTTTTGAAGATTGATAAATTAACATAGAGCTCAATGTAAATGAGCGAAATTTCCGAGGCCTACTATTTTCAACTGGGGCCACTTTTCAACACCACTTCGTTAGATATCAAAAATATATGTATTAATGATACTTATTTCAAGAAAATGTTGCTTTATATATAGCAAGTGCAATTGAACAGCTAACTGACCCCACTAATACAAATGTAGAAGAAAACACGTACTTCAGCAATGTGTATATGTAGAATTTCTCAAGATATTAGAGAGATTTCGCACCTCGTGAAAGTACAACTTATAACGTATACTTATACTTATAGGTAAACGTACAAGGTGTTTCATAATGTGGGCATTTCGTCAGGAAAGATCTTCTCGGACTGTAATAAATACAGGTCAAAGGGATGCCATTTTTACTTTCTTGAATGGTAGCATGTTTAGTTGATCCAAATAAGTTTGTCTAGAATAAAATAGGCTCATATATAGTACATATGTTATAGACCCATCTCTTCTCAAATTGACTTTTTGGAGATGCTCGTTATGAAACACCCTGTATGTCATTTGTTGAGCTACTGAATGGGTCGTTTCCAGGAATCGCTAGAACCTACTGGTTTGATTGGTGTTTCAAATTGATGGTTAAAGTATTTGATTGGATACTGTTACCACTCAGCCAATTAATTTTTAAAAATGCTTGCGGTCAATTGTTCCACACACATGTAGGCAAATCTTTATACGGAGATCCAACTGTATACGTTATCATCTACGTAAATATACCGTTTTGTAAGTTCATTGAGCTTATACTGATCGTGAAAACATTGAAATAATCAACTTGTTTATGTAATGACTCACTTTAAAGAATCATGACTCACTTTAAAGGATCGTGTTTATAATACACTACAACTACAAGGACACGAAAGCAAGCATTTAATTATAATGTGCATAATCTACACGTGCAGATGACAGTGCATTCACAGTCTCTAGTTGGTGGAGCTTTTCTATAACGGGAATAGTTATGTTCCATTAAGTACAATTCAAAATTGATTTTAGTAAATATAATAGTTCGACACGACCCTTTAAAGTATACGTATACGTATAAGTTGTACTTTCACTTATGTGCGAAATCTCTCTATTATCAAACTGTTCATTAAAATACCTCAATTAGAAACCTTTTAGTTTAACATATCACTTTTATATTTCCAGTATTCCCTACCTATGCCTAAAGGAGGTAAACACGTCACTAACCCAATACTCTGTGAGGACCAACCCACAGGTCAACATAGGACAAATAAGCACTTCAATAAAGGTAGCATAAATCCTATGGATGCAGACTTTGTCTCACAATCTTCACCATTTGCGCTAAATGATGTGTATTCTAGGTCTGCCCAAATAAGGGTGAAAGGTGGGCGTGGCAGAGGCCGTGGAAATAAAAAGAATCCTAATGAGAATAGAAAAGTGTATGGACGTAGAAAATGAACAATTATTAGTGATATGATTTCTACAATGACAGAATGATTAATACATGTATAGATTAGTACATGGAAATATTTAAGATTGATTTGACTTAATCATTTAATTTTGAATAATGAACCATGGCACAATAAAACATGTACAAATACAAAGAGTAATCTAGATTTATGTTGTCTTATTACCATTATTACACAAATTGCGTAAATAAGACATGGGGAAACTTATCTTGATTTGTAGCCTTGAAATTCATAGTGGCCAAACACCTTGAAACAGACAGAATTTGGATTTCAGCAATATATGGCTTTTTATGTGCAAATCGACGATTTTAATAGTACATTTTAAAAATTGTATTATGACAACTTCCAGAACTATGAATAATTTGTTTATGAGAATTTGCTACTTGAACTCAAATGGTTAAATTGGTGGAAATTCTGATATATCTCCAATATCTGGCTTTTATTATCTCAAAATCAAGGGTCAATGTTAGATTCTAACATATACAGATTAAACGTATTTTCACATTTCTTACATCCTGAATGTACACCGGAATAGCCTGACAACGATAAAGTCAGATACCATTGTCACAAATGGCGGACATAACCGTCGCTTCAACTCTTTAATCACTTGGTCCTCATTTCATGGGATTTTATCGTCGCTAATTCTGTGCATGCATTAAGCTCTTGTGATAATGTATCATATGAAATCCCAATTTCGATCAAATTGGGTCGTGAATCGCCGCAATATAGCGTCTTCGATATCGTCAATGACAACGGTATCTCATTTTTATCCGTTAAATTAAAGATTTTATTTCGATGGTAGAACATTATTAACTGTACAATGAGTATTAAGACACTCTGATTGATTGTTGTTCCAAAGAAATTTAGTCTAAGTGCTCTATTAAACATACAGTTCATGAAAATCTAATTGAAGCGACGGTTATGTCCGCCATTTGTGACAACGGTATCTGACTTTACCGTTGGCAGGCTATTCCGTTGTGGAATGAGAATACATAGTCATATTGACTTGAACAGTTGAAATGTTACCATGGCAACAAAGAAGTGGACTTGTCATCATTTAATGATGTGCTAAAACAGGTGGTGACATTTTGTCATGTTAATGCTTTGTCTAGTTTCTTATTGATGTGATCAGCAAACCATGCGGGATGGACGGAACCTATTGTGATTGGCATTACCCCCCCCCCTCCCCCTTAATGCAGGACCTATCAGCCCTTATTTTCACTTTTTCCCCCTTGATCAATGAAAGTGGTATTTTTAATTAACATGACGTGTTATAAAGGGTGAGCCAAAAATGTAACCCAGATAAATCTTAATAACTCAGACCTCCAGTATGGATTTTAAGTCATATTTGGCACAATTCAACCTGTTCTTTCATTCCAACAAGTTTCATTGGCCTGCTCCAAAGGCTCCAAATGATCCCGATTTTATGGCCATTTTACAAAACATGCTCAAAATGCCAAAACATAGCAAAATCACCCAATATGAACCCAAAGAATTTTACCTTTGGGACTATAAAAGGAAAATTAGAACCATTACATAAGATATCTGTGAACGTGTAGTCAGGAAACTCTACCTGATGCGCTAAATTCGCTTCTAAAGACAAGATTGGCATTTTGAGCACGCTTTGTAAAATGGTTATAAAATCGTGGCCATTTGTAGTAGACCAATGGAACTGAACAAGGATCAGTTGTGCCAAATAGGCCGAACAGCGGAAATGCAAAGTTTAGGAAACAGTGCCTGAGAGGAATGTATCAGCCACAATGCATCCTTAAATTGTTCTCACACATTGCAAAATCTTTTCTACAAAATCACCTAAATGATACATAATCACTAAAAGAACATATTTTCAATGAAACTTTTTGCAATGATCACGTTGGCAAAGCATCAATTTCAATCTGTGTCAACCATTCATCGAATGACCTTGAGTGCGGTGATTGGATATAAAATGCAGTGGAGTTATATGGAATACTGTGTTTGTATTGGCTTGAATCGGTCAGACCTTGGTGTGTGAATGGATTTGTTTGGGTTACCTCTTTTGGCTCACCCTGTAGATACACTGGTTTAACAGTATATGATAATGACCAAGGCTGCCATGGTAACACATTATGAACCATGAGTTATTTAATACCAAATAATATGTCTGCATTTTATTACAATAACCATAGCTTCTAATGATATATACAACGATGTAATAAGTAAAATTAAAGGCGTACAAAACATCACAATATTATAAGAATGAGATAATGCGCCCGGGTAGTCTTAAATCGTTCTTCTTCATTGCCGTATCCATTGCTTTGATGTTCCATAAAGGTATAAGACAATCTGGAGACTGAACAGTGTGAAATTACAAGAGTAAAATGGCAAAACGGACAACGACTGTTGCTCCTGAAAATATGACCGAGATGGAACTAGATAGCTCACAATTCGACCGCAAATACAGCAGTTTCTCCAGGAGTGATTCCAGCAATTCAAGCATGGTTGGAAACTCGACGATTAAAACAGGACTATGTTATGTAGATCCTGTCTCTCATAAGGGAAAAACCATACAGATGTTGGCAATGCTTATAATGACCTTCATCCCAATAACTGGTATGGTGATTTATGGTGTTTCATTTGTAGCGAATGCCATAGACGCTGAGAATCAGCTTCATATCATACAACGCCAAGTCGACTCAGTAAAGGCGATTGATGACCTGGTGCACGCACTGCAACTAGAACGCGCCGCAACTGTGTATTATCTAGCAACAAATGGGTCAGACACATGGAGCCTCACAAAGTTCTACAACGAAACCGACCAGGCATTGCTCAGCACTGTTGACTGGCTCAAAGACATGGCCATTGTTAGCATAAAGGAATACTCCACCAAAGAGGATTTTCATCAGTATTTACAATTCCATCGTTCTCAACTAAAAGTGAACCATACTTTCATATACAGGGATATGTCCTTTTACACGGAGGCTATTAAGTCAATGGTGGACTTCCTCATTGCTTTTACGCAGGACGACAAGCACGGCATAATCTGGCGTCAACTTGTAGCTAGTAAAATGATCATCGAGGCGAATGAACATATCGGAAAAGTTCTGGCAGCGGGCATAGACTATTTCATTAAAGGTGCACTTCCCCTTGAAGACTACAGGTAAGTGTCCAATGATGTACCTTGTATTCAGTATTATCGCGGACCTCACCAGAAGTAAGTCCTTGGTTCAAGATAAGCGTATGTTCAAAGCGAAGTCGAACGAATGCAAAGGGTATACGTTTTTCTCGTCTTTGGGACGAATTCGACCCTGCACGCTTATTAATTAACCCACCTATGTGGAATCAAAACAAATATACATGTACATAACATGTCACGGCAAAGTAAAGTGATCTCCACCAGTAAAGGCGATGGAAATGATTTTGAAATAAAGATGGCATTGCAATCATTTTGTTTTACATTAGAATAAAACTCTGTTATCTATATCGACGGATAAAACCTATGGTACAATATGGTCTTATCCAGTTTATTAAAGCGGAAACTCATCATGTAAATCCCAACATTTCTATTAAGCCAACCAACTTACCTCTTTAACCATTTGTCATTCACAGATTTTTCGTGAGCAATGTGGCATTGGCAAGAGACAATATAGCGACGTTCCAGAAATACTCAGAAACTGCAACCAAACTATACGAGGAAATCTATTTGACGACCAAATTAGAACGTTCAGTGGAAACCTACATGGACCTTGTGGTTACCAACAATATAACAAAGGAATGTCTGCCATGTGCAATCAACTTTGACTTGACGATAACAGAGTACCTTAACATACTTAAGATCATCAAAGAAGCAGTGAAAAAAGAAATTATAGAACTGGTAATTCTACATCAACTTTATTGATTAGCCCCTACCTCAGGAGAAAAAGGAGCTCTCTCTAAAATACGCTCAATTGGCGTTTATAATTCAATGCATAAGAATCTTTTTCATAAATGTTTATTAGGAAGAAGTAGAAACGTTATCACATATCTGCATATATTTCTGTTTTGCAGCTAGCAACATGCTGTAATATGATAATGTAATGACCCTCGATATCGAGTCGCTACTACAGTCCCGGCTGTAGTGGCTAGCCCCTTGGCCAAAGCGGTAGAGCGTCAGTCTTGAGAGCGGAGGGCCCTGGGTTCGATTCCCGCATGGGGCATTGCATTCAGCATACTCCTTTTCAGGTCTTGTATCTGGCTCGTTACACTAAGCTTACAGCTCTATGGACGAGCGTTCCCACGGGTCGTTGCAATAATACTACTCTCTTGATAGGATAAGATGATATATAACTGACATAAAGTGTAAAGGTCATCTATTTGTATAATTGTCATCGTGTTCCTTTCTTTTTCGTAAGTCTATCTATTTACATAATCGTGACAATTGTCATCATGTTTTCATTATATCATATATCGGGACTAAGAAGGTGAGATGACATAGTTTATCAGGATGGCTGCCTGTGCTACGATTCTGTTTTCCATTACAGGTGATCACTGAAATGGCTAAAGCGAAAAGTGATGTTGCAATAGGGGTGATAACATTCTGTATCATGTTCACCTTGTCTCCGGTCGTGGTTACCATGGTGCACAGATTGACGTCACGTCTCCAGGACTACGAAAAGAACGTGTCAATTAAATCACGAGAATTAAAAAGAGCTAAGAAACGTTCAGATGAGCTACTTTATCAGCTGTTGCCTAAGACGGTTGCGCATCAGTTAAAACACAACCAATCAGTTATTGCGGAATACTTCGATGACGTTACTGTATTTTTCAGTGATATTGTCGGGTTTACAAAACTGAGCGCTATTAGTAATCCTATGCAGGTGGTTAACTTCCTCAACGCTCTGTATAGCTTTTTCGACCACAAGATCCAGAAGTATGATGTGTATAAAGTTGAAACGATTGGTGATGCATACATGGTTGCCAGTGGCGTACCTCAACGGAATGGCATCTATCATGCGCAAGAGATTGCACTCCTGGCTCTGGACTTACTCGAGGATACACATACTTTTCAAATGCCACACATTTCCAAAGAAAAGTCAGCCTTTCACTCAAGTAAATCGCTACAATTGAGGATCGGACTGCACACTGGTGAGTTATCTTTTCATGTTCTGTTTTCTTTTTTCACATATTGCAGGACCCTGCGTTGTGCTATGCCAAAGTATTATCTCTTCAGTTTTGTGTTGCAGGAACCTGCGCAGCAGGTGTTGTTGGTAGTGCTATGCCAAACTATTATCTGTTCAGTTTTGTGTTGCAGGACCCTGCGCAACAGATATTGTTGGTAGTGCTTTGTCAAAGTATTATCTGTTCAGTTTTGTGTTGCAGGACCCTGCGCAACAGGTATTGTTGGTAGTGCTATGTCAAAGTATTATCTGTTCAGTTTTGTGTTGCAGGACCCTGCGCAACAGGTATTGTTGGTAGTGCTATGCAAGAGTATTATCTGTTCAGTTTTGTGTTGCAGGACCATGCGCAGCAGGTATTGTTGGTAGTGCTATGCCAAAGTATTATCTGTTCAGTTTTGTGTTGCAGGACCCTGCGCAGCAGGTGTTGTTGGTAGGGCTATGCCAAACTATTATCTGTTCAGTTTTGTGTTGCAGGACCCTGTGCCATAGGTGTTGTTGGTAGTGCTATGCCAAAGTATTGTCTGTTCAGTTTTGTGTTGCAGGAACCTGCGCAGCGGGTGTTGTTGGTAGTGCTATGTCAGAGTATTGTCTATCTTTTCATGTTCTGTTTTCTTTTTTCACATATTGCAGGACCCTGCGTAGTGCTATGCCAAAGTATTATCTCTTCAGTTTTGTGTTGCAGGACCATGCGCAGTAGGTGTTGTTGGTAGGGCTATGCCAAACTATTATCTGTTCAGTTTTGTGTTGCAGGACCCTGCACAGCAGGTGTTGTTGGTAGGGCTATGCCAAACTATTATCTGTTCAAGGACCCTGCGCAGCAGGTGTTGTTGGTAGTGCTATGCCAAAGTAATGTCTGTTCAGTTTTGTGTTGCAGGACCATGCGCAGCAGGTGTTGTTGGTAGTGCTATGTCAAAGTATTATCTGTTCGGTTTTGTGTTGCAGGACCCTGTGCAGCAGGTATTGTTGGTAGTTGTATCAGATGCTGGCACAGTTTTGCCGGAAGTTTGCAAGAAGTAACTTTTGGCAATGCAGTATGTAAGAGTAACCTAGTAGGTGTAAAAAAATATAAGGTGATGGCCTTTAAAGTGGTAAAAACAATTTTCACGGCCGAATTGGACTTCAATTCCTGCGATTTCAGGGGGTACTATAAGACTATTTCATAAAGGATATAGTTGCTATTGTTCTGCTTTCTACAGCACACATTACTAGTCTAAAGATGAATAATATCCTAAAGTTATAGGCCGATATCTGTATTAGTCTCAGAAATATTGCAATTAATAGGAAAAAAATACGCAATTTTAGTCATTTTTAAGTCTCACGTATCTTATATTTGTAGCTTCCAGCAAAAGATGGCAGCTTAAATAGCTCAAAATTGTTTTCTAAAAACTAATTCAAGCTTTGTTTGATATTGTAATACAATTATAATAATGATAATGTACTATTTATGATTTTTAATATGACTTTATAGTACCCTACCCCTGGAAAGTGGGCGTGGTCAATGTTATCATTTTGCAGCATACAATTAAAAACTTGTATTGATAGAAAGCAAATCAATGCATATAAAACATCTTCACTTGTTACTTGACAATGTAATTCATTTATTATTAAAATATAGGACTCTACATATTTTATATATACAATTTCAATTTTGTACAATGTATCATAATGAAATCTAATAGGCTGTTTCAATTTACAAACTTTTTCTCGGATCACCCTTACCTTTTGACAAAATGATCTACTATATGACCAATAGCCACAAAAAATAGCAGAACTGGTCAACGTTTAAACCCCCCCCCCCCCCCCCTACCCTTATGTTTGTTTTGTATGGGGTCCGCCACAATGCAACAAGTCCATTTTCAGTGCTTACTATCACATGGAATATAAGTCACAATGTTTCCACAATATCTGGGCAATGAGATAGTGCCATTAAGAATATGTATGCCCAGATTCAAGATCATGGTGTAAATGCTTGCCGATCTATCGGCTTTCAAAAATGAGGAAAGCTGTCTTGAGTGCCGTTTCAACTAATTTTGAATTAAAACTGCTACTGAAGAATTTTTTTCTCAACAACTGTGATTTGGTTAGAGTCCAAACACAGGATATCAAGACATAGTGCTACTAAATTCTGGTATTGAAAATTTCAGAGCTCTAGATCAAGTATTCATATCTGCATGGACTCTTAAAAAGACCCAAAAGACACAAAATGCAGTCAGATATCGCGAAAAAAATGTGACAAAATGCACTATTCAGAACAATTTATCTCTTAAATTTTACTTTTATTTACCATAATTTCTGATTCTGCCTCTAGTTAGTAATACCAATAATACATATGAGTAGACTTAAGGTCATAGTAAGTGTAGTTACAGATTTATTAGCATCTAAAAATGGGAGAAGCAGTGTAGCAAGTGCAATTTTCACCTATAATTCATAATATTAAACTGCAGCTTTCAGGATTTTCTTCTCTAAAACAAGAATTCCGTGAGACCCCAAAAGACAGGATTCCATATCACTGTACCACCAAATATATATGAGAGTAGTTTCAGGAGGTTATATCATATAATCATTGAACCATTGACACCTAAAAATATGCAAAATACAGTCAGAAATGGTGAAATTGTGATTGTGAAAAAATGTATGTATTCTTAACAATTTTTTAACTAAACTGTATTTTATTTAGAACTGAAACTTGAAGTGCTTACTAGGAGTTACATCTAGTTATTATTTATTAAGTGACTTCAGCATCCGGATTGATATAATATAGGAATATCCTATGGTTTTGAAAAAATATCATTTGTATCCATGAGTGGATATTGATATTTTCATGAGTGAGCGCAGCGAGTGAGTGAAGATATTTGTATCCATGAGTGGATATAATTGATATTTTTGAAAAAAATTTTATTTATCCCATGGGAAATCATCATCAGCGAGAAAATGTGAAAATATAATTCAAGAAAAAATTTGAAAAAATAATTGAAAAAAAATTGTGAAAAAACGTTGAAAGAGAAATTTTTTTTTGAAAAAATTCGAAACCATGGAATATCACTTTTCAAACCACCGAATATCACTTTTTAAGATGTGACATTCGATAGTTTAAAAGTGATATTCGATGGTTTGTGAATTTTTTGCTAAAATATTATAACTTGATCCACATATCAAATATATCTTCATGTGATATTCGATCTATATCCTTGCAACCATGGGATAATTATAGGATATCCTATGATTTTGAGGAATATCATTTTTATCTACGAGGTGATATTGATATCTGCCCGAGAGAGCAAAGCGAACGAGTGCATATATCAATATCACCGAGTAGATTAAAATGATATTCTGAAAAAGAATCATAGGATGTTCTTATTATCCTACACTTACAAGGAGTGTACTAAATGTATAATATCATTGCAAAATGAATTTCATGCCAAATAGAGTCAATTTGGCGGGAAATCAACAAGCGGAGTATATCGTCACAATATCCTCCGCATGTATTGGGTTTTCCGGAGTATATCGTCACGATATCCTCCACCCGGAGTATATCGTCACGATATCCTCCACCCGGAGTATATCGTTACGATATCCTCCGGATATTCATTTTGCCAATAAATATCAAATTTTTTAATGGTATTATACGTTTAGTACACTAAGTGTAGGATAATCACTGTTATCCTATGCCAAGTAGAGTATTAGGGAGATAAGTTGGTAAGATATATCCCGTATCCTGATTTTGAGGTTTCCATATCCTGAACCTCCATATCTCCCGCCATATCTCCCGCCATATCTCCCGCTCCAGGGCATATCTTCCCGCTCCGAAAAAAAAATTGAAAAAATAAGAAAAAATGTAAAAAAAGAAAAAATGTGAAAAAATTGAAAAAAACAAAAAATTGAAAAAAGAAAAAAAATTGAAAAAAATTGGAAAAAATTGAGAAAAACGTGAAAAAAATTGAAAAAAAAAATGGAACAAAATTGAAAGAAAATTAGAAAACTCTACTTGGTATAGGATAAAGCAGTTATGTACGGTCGGTTTTGATATTGGGTTCATCCCTCGTGAGATATGCACATCTACCTTCGGTCCCTATGGTCCCTCAGGTAGATATGCATATCTCCCTCTGAATAAACCCCATATCCAAAACCTCCCAGTACATAACCCTTATATATGCTTAAGACCAAAAATCCTATAAAGAATGTTATTATTGAATACTGAGAGTACATTGTTTTTACATTACAGAGCTTTATTTCTACCTGAAAGTATTTTGGAACATATCTCTTGCTTAAATATTTCATGCAATGTTACTTTCAAAAACTTTCTTAGAACAATTAGTCCATCCTATACTTTCACATGTTATTCTCCCTTTCGTTTTTAAAAATTGTGGGAGCTTTAAACTCAATAAGAGCTTAATACCAATTATACCATGTACCTTCTTTGCCCTCCGTCGCATTTTTCTTAGAATGGCCAGGCATATTTCAAATTGAAGAGTAAAGTCAGTTAAAGTGATATACAGCTGTATATAACAACGTATCTTTCACTTGATACTGTGATGTCAAGCTTAAGCATTCAAACAGTGTATTTTGTCCCAAGATACAATAAAGTACTGATTTCATTTATTTATCAATTCAGATGCCTTGGAATTAAAGTAAACAGTTGGTATATATTACCAATATTATTTTTACCTATTATTGGTGGTACAATGACCAGGTTTCCTTTAATGTCTTTGGTCTTACTGTGCAGTTTGTAAAAAGAAAATTCAGAAAGTTGCAGTCTTAGATGAAAAACTGGTGAAAATCATACTTGCTACAGCTTTTCCCATTTTCAGAAGCCAATAGATCTGTACTTCCACTTACTATGACGTTAAGTCTTCTCATATGTATTATTGGTGGTACTTACTGGAGGCAGAGTCTGAAATTATGTCAAATAAAAGTAAAATCTAAGAGATAAATTGTTCTGAATAGTGCATCTTTCATATTTTTCACGATATCTGACAGGTTTTTTGTCCTTTTGCCTCTTTTTAAAAGTACATGCAGAAGTGAATATTTGATCTAGAGCTCTGAAACTTCCAATATCATTACTTGGTAGCATTATGTCTTGGTATCTTATGTTTGGGGTCTAAAAAAGTCACAGTTTATTAAGCAGCAGTTTCAGTTCAAAGTTAGTTAAAACTGCTGTGACAACCCCAACAATTTTACTCACCATTCTTTGCAACTATTAAGTAGTGTCAGTTCAATGTCTCGTCATTGTTGGGTTTCACTTAATGTTGTTTAAATGCTTACATGTATGTTTAGGTTGATACTTTCCACTAAAGTGTCATATTTCAGTGATTTGTAGGCGAGTGGTGGAAATTTTCAAATATTTCTACTTTCACTTCCGGTTCACAGGGTCAAGGTCATATTGCCGATAAAAGTTTGTCATTTGTTTTTCTTAGGAAATTCACCCTGTTAACTATGTTTTATCGCTAATCTAGTAAGATATTCACATAATAGGTAATATTTGCTTTCAAACGGTAGTTTACACTTGGTAAATGGTCCCGTATTGGCGAAGTTATGGCTATAAATCTAAATTTATATAAGTCTATTTTTAGGCTGACGTCCTTGTGACGTCACTGCACATGCGCAGAGGTGAGGCAGCCATCAAACTTTTGCGAGAGAAAATCACCCGTGATTTGCTCTGCTGTTTCCACTTCAAATGTCGGTATCGTTGACCATCGAGATGCCGGAGCTATCGCATTACTTACAGCAGTAAGTGGTGCATCTGCACGGGGTAATGGCGAGATGTCATTCACGATGCTGGTCTCTAAAACCAGGTTTGAAGTTGAGGTTGGGTCTTCCGTGGCTTTTGCAAATGGCGTCATCAGCCTCCCATATTTGCAAGTTTTGATCTCAACCTTCAAACACACATCGTGCCGCAAGTACCTCATGTGGATTGATAGCCTGCACCTCATTTCGAACCAGGATTGATCTAGGGATCAATGTGTCAAAATTGGCAAGTATAACATTGTATTTAGTTTGAATTGTTTGGTGCAAAAGCACACTGAAACTATTTGACCTATATTCAATATTGGTTTGTGCAAAGGCACATCAGAATTATTTGACCTAGATTTGCTTTGCAAAAGCATATCATAATTGTTTGAGAGAGTTGTTTTGCATTGTTTATGATCAATACTCATATTGACCATCATGTTTGATTAATTCATTGCTAAGGATTAGTTATTACATATGATCATGTTTTGCTACACTGCGTTACTCAGTCTGTTCCGCAGTTCTGAGGTTCTACTCTGCGCAGGTGTACATTACACAATGTCGGCTATTTGTGATAGTTAGGTCTTAGGTATTATCAGGTTTTGGTACACTGCATTACTCAGTCTGTTCTGAGGTTCTACTCTGTGCAGTTGTACTTTATGCAATGCATTTGTTGACAGTCAGATATGGTCATGTCTTGGTACGCTGCGTCTATTGAGGGCGTTCCGCGGAACTACCCTGCGCAGCTATATACATTATGTAATGTATATAGTCAGTTTATGGAGTTCAAGTTCTTGTTTGGCAACAGCACTGGATGATTGTGTTGAGTTTAGACACTCATGGAAGCTTAGTTCATTATTTAAATCTACTTTGACTTGAATTGTTCATTTATTGTCAAAGTGTCGGTTTAGTCGTAAAGTTGTGAAGTCATATTAGTACCATAGCTTATACATTTTATGCATGTATGGCTTTATCAAAAGCCCTGTTAGGCAGTTAGGAAATACCATTTGTTCCATCTTGTGTCATCAATGGGAATACAAGTTGTTGTACCCACATCTATGCTGTGGCATAGAATATTATAGGCTATACCTGGGTATAGCCTATGAGTGGTGTTGTATTACATTAACTTGTGTATACTTTGTATGCTATTCCATCCATCATTGATCAGCATTGACATGCACCGGCATGTTGCGTATAACATGCACCCACATGTTACATAATGATTAATGTGCACTCATGTATATATATTGGTATTGCTACTTGGTGTGTCAAACACTATATGTTGTATAAGTTATTGTTATTAAGTTGTTGATTACTTATGGTGCTATTATGTTCAACTCTTGTGTCACCATAACTTGTGATTACTTATAGTAATACCATGGTGATATGTATAGTTGGTCTCACAGATCTTAGTGTTTTGTCAGTGGTCATTATTAGGTTCTTTGTGTCATGTGTTACACATATAGGAGCCAGTTGTAAGTGTACTCATTATTCATTGGTTATTGTAAGGATATGGCAATACAATATTGCCATTTTATTCCAATGTTTAGTTGGTAACTTGTATTTGACTATCGCAAGCTCACAAGAGCTATTTGTATGTGTACTTATTATTCATTGGTCATTGTAAGGATATGGTAATACATTATTGCCATTTTAGTCCAATGTTTAGTTGGTAACTTGTAAGTTTGACTTTATGTCATATCGCAAGCTCACAAGAGCTAGTTGTAGGTGTACTTATTATTCATAGGTCATAAAGGTTATGATGGTAATGCATATTGCAATGTTATGCCTATGTTTATTTAGTAACCAGTTATCCGGTTGTGTCACACACTCTCCCAGGTGAAGGTATTGTTACAGAATTACTTGTGTGTATTTAAAGTGAGTTCCATGCACATGAGCTAATTAATGTAAAGTTATAACATAAGAGTCTTAGTAGACAAGTTACATGTTTCAGTATTAAATGTGATATTAAATGCTGTATATTATGTGACCATGAAGCAAGGATATTAGTTCAGTAGTTACTTTAGATTCATCTTTGTGAGTGTTGTTTGAATGCATGTACTCATTGCTATTTAGTAACAATGTACTACTATTATTCAGGATATTATTCAGGTAGATGAATAATATGTCTATCATTCAAGTAAATAACACTGTACCATTCAGTGTATATTATTCAGGTATATTATGCATATATCATTCAGGTATCACAACATCAAAGGTATTTTTCATATATGTTTTCCACTATGTGTGGCTTTGTTTGCACACTTTGTGTGCCTCACTGTATTACCATGTTGTTCAGTTGTTAATAAACCTTTAATCTTTTAGTTATATATTTAATTTAACTCATCTGTTTTGTCAGTTAAAGTGTATGTTTTATGTCGCAGCGCGACATATTCCGTCCCTTTGTCATTTTATAAGTCATGTCTGAGGACCCTTGAGAGTATTAACAGGCACAACACGAACCCGGGATTTTAATGCTAACGATTCTTTCACCTCACTTAGCCCTTCCCCTTATTCACGCTACCACTTCTGTTTGCTCTGCACCGCCGTGCGGAGACAGGGGCGGTGAGGGTCGTTACACTGCACTCACGACAGCTTTCTCTATTTTTGAACGCCGATAGATCGATAAGTATTAGTATTAGGACCTTGAAACTGCTCATATTATGTAGTCTTTGTGGTACTTTCTCATTGCAAAGGTAATTTGGAAACACTGTGACTTACATTTCATGCGTTAGTGAACACTGAAAATGAACCAGCCTATTAGATTTCATCATGATACATTGTACAAAATTGAAAACGTATATATAAAATATGTAGAGTCCTATGTTTTAGTAATGAATGAATTACAATGTCAAGTAACAAGTGAAAATGTAAAAATGCATTGATTTGCTTTCTATCAATACAAGTTTTTAATTGTATGCTGCAAAATGATAACATTGACCACGCCCACTTTCCAGGGGTAGGGTACTATAAAGTCATATTAAAAATCATAAATAGTACATTATCATTATTATGATTTTATTACAATATCAAACAAAGCTTGAATTAGTTTTTAGAAAACAATTTTGAGCTTTTTAAGCTGCCATCTTTTGCTGGAAGCTACAAATATAAGATACGTGAGACTTAAAAATGACTAAAATTGCATATTTTTTTCCTATTAATTGCAATATTTCTGAGACTAATACAGATATCGGCCTTTAACTTTAGGATATTATTCATCTTTGGACTAGTATTGTGTGCTGTAGAAAGCAGAACAATAGCAACTATATCCTTTATGTTATGAAATAGTCTTATAGTACCCCCTGAAATCGCAGGAATTGAAGTCCAATTCGGTCGTGAAAATTGTTTTTACCACTTTAAAAGCCATCACCTTATATTTTCTTACACCTACAAGGTTACTCTAACATACTGCATTGCCAAAAGTTACTTCTTGCAAACTTCCGGCAAAACTGTGCCAGCATCTGATACAAGTGCTATGTCAAAGTATTATCTGTTCGGTTTTGTGTTGCAGGACCATGCGCAGTAGGTGTTGTTGGTAGTGCTATGCCAAAGTATTATCTGTTCAGTTTTGTGTTGCAGGACCATGCGCAGCAGGTGTTGTTGGTAGTGCTATGCCAAAGTATTATCTGTTCAGTTTTGTGTTGCAGGATCATGCGCAGCAGGTGTTGTTGGTAGTGTTATGTCAAAGTATTATCTGTTCAGTTTTGTGTTGCAGGACCATGCGCAGCAGGTGTTGTTGGAAGTGCTATGCCAAGGTATTGTCTGTTCGGTGACACCGTCAATACAGCATCGCTCATGGAATCAAGTGGACTTCGTAAGTAAACTGTAAAATAAAGATATAGGTCCACCCTTTTACACTATGGATGTGTTCATTCATACATTATCATAAATATGATTGATGAGACATAAGCCATCGTGGTACTTCGGAGTTCATAGTACCAACAAAAAGTCCTAAAACGCAAGCCCAAATGTCCTGTTTAAGAATCCATATTCTTACTATTGAAAATAGATTCTAGAAATACTATCCAGCATAAATCTTCTTGTTGAAATTCGATCAACTTGAGTTCTTCTGAGAAAATGAGGACATGCACCTTTGACTTAACATCGGGATATCATCTGCATGTATGCCAACATGTTACGTCGATGTACCCTTGCTGAAATGCTCATTTTCTCAGAAGAACTCAAGTTGATCAAGCACATTCATGTGGAATAATATTTTTAGAATCCATTTTCAATAGTAAGAACAGGGGTTCTAAACAGGACATTAAAGCTTTTTAAAATTTTTGGTTAGTACTATCATACTTTTCGCAACCTATGACATTGATAGTAATCTATGCTTTCAGCATTAAAGATACACGTGAGCGTTGATTGTAAGAAGACGCTGGAGAAAATTGGGGGCTTTTTGATGGAATATAGAGGCGTTGACATAAAGGTTTGTTTATATTGGATGTTTTTCTAAATTACAATAAGTATAGTTGCTCATATTGAATAATTATTGGAGAAGGTTTGATAATGTGTGTTTTAATAAATTATATTTGTGTATAGCAATTCGTTTTCAAGGGTAAAGGTCCAATAGAGACGTACTGGCTGAAAGGGAAAATTGGAAATGTTAATAGAGGGGCACGTGTTCCGATCCACACCTACAACCGCACGAGAAAATGGGACTCTCCTCCTCAAGGGTACAAAGTCCCGGAGATTGAATCTCCGACCTCAGGCTATAAAATACCAAATATGGACATTGACTCAACGCCACATGGCTACACGTTACCAGTAGTTGAGGTTTTAGATGAGTATGGCACACCCAGTATTCGAACTAGCTCGTTTCCTTACGCTAATTCAGTCGTGTCCCATGATAGCAACAGCGTGGTCACCTCTCCAGTGCACCGGTTGAAACAGCGTCATCCATTGACTTCGACGAAAGACGATGAGAGTCCTTGCCTATCTACGAGCTCAAATTTTTTCTAGTTGCAATTAAGATTTATTCTTTTTAACAGACAATGTGAGAAACCGATGGAATCTCGAATATCATATGCAGATCAAAGTTGCAAATTCATAGATACAGGCAATGACCAGAAGCGTATAGTAGACAAACCCATAGATTCAGGCAACATGAATACATGTAGTTCAGCGTATAGTAGACAAGTCCATAGATTCAGATCAGATCCCGTATCAAAACTATTCCCTCGATTTCTCTCTGATAAATTAAATTGTATCATTTTATGTTACCATTATTGGGTGATGACATTGAAAACTAAATACGTTTCAGAAAATATCATAGAACAAATAGGTTATTGATGGTCGTAATGGAATATGAATTTTTGTCTTGAGAAAATATGATATATATTGGCCTCTGAAAGTTATCGCCTACGGCCAAGTTGATATTTTCCCTCAGAAGTAACAAAGTAACTATATTTAGAGAAAAACTTGTTTTAGTACCACCATCTATATCTCAAGTTGTACCGAGAGTCCGAGACAAATATGGGACAATTATTGGGACATGGTCTTGTGCGGTTGGTCAATGGCTCGCTAAACTGATCCAAGAATATGTTCGGAGTGTTATATAGGCCGTTCAATAAGTAATGACACTAAGGCTCTCATTTTGTCAAATTTTGCTTGTTTTATCTCAAATTTTCACCATATGTTGAAAATGCATTTGTCTATTTATATGCGGAAAATCACCAGATATAACAAATAATAACCAGTAATTTGGTTGCCATAGCAACATGAGGATACAGCACTTGACTTGGATCCAAATCGATAAGAATGATGGCCCATCAGTACATGTTTTATACCCCTATCTTTCTTGAGAATAGTGGATTTCGAAGCATAATTTTTGTGTTTATGTTTTATGTTTATGTTTTGTGTTTATGTTTTGTGTGTATGTTGCAATGGTAACTAAATGGTATGACATCACAGTTAATTTCTCAAAAGTAGGGAATCCAATGAGTCATAATGATCATAGACTCCCTCAAAAAAGGGGAAAGTCCTGAAAACTGCAAAAACATGAGTTTGGCACTACAGCAAAGGAGTTCAATAAAAACATTTGTATTGCTTGGGAAACAAGCAAAAGATATAGTGCAGTATATCCAGGAGGCTTATGGTAATGACTCTATGAGTAAGAGATCAATTTTCCGGTGGTGCAAAATGTTCAAAGAAGGAAGGAAAAGTGTGGATGCTGATGATCGCAGTGGGAGGCCAAAGTATGAAAACAATAATTTTAAAATGTCTGATGAATGGGTGTTGAGACAGCAACGATGTATAGATGCTAATGGAGACTATTTTGAGTGACTTTGAATTCATATGTTCATGCTTGTTATGATGTATTTATACTTAGGGGTATAAATCATTATAATATTTGTCAATCTTAAAGACTATCAATATTCGTCAATATTTTGTGTTATAATTTTACATGTGCTTCAGATCTTTCAAAATCCCAAGTCAAGTGGCGTGCCCACTATTTTTTATAAAGGGATAATTGTACTTTATATTTTGTATTTATTAATAAAATTCATCACACTTATAAAACAGTGTATTTGTGCTAATCTGACCAAATTTCATGATGATTGGTGGTAATCTCTTAAAATGACAGCCTTAGTGTCATTACTTATTGAACAGCCTATATTTGGTGTATGAAGCACTGCCTAGATTTATGACAATACAATTATGAATATTCACTCTAAAAGATGGCAGCAACATTAACTTCGGGCTTTTGGGTCAAAATATGTCTCTCATCACAAGGGGTCAAAAATATGAACATTTTCATTCGAATTTTTACACATTTTATAAGACCCAAAACGTTGATCTAAGTTAAGTATATTTACAATACATTGGATTATCATTATGAAAATATTAATTATAACTTTAATGTAATTGCCAGTGGTTAATAAGTTTAATTACGTAAGTGTGGGTTTTAGTTTTTGTTGAGTTTTTCAAATATTGGTCAAGCATATTCAACAAAATTCTGTGAATGAAATTCATAATTTCAAACATATTAAGTTTTTAATATTTGAAAGTTTTATTTAAAGAGTTATACCTATCACCACCAGGGTTCAAACAAGAAATAATTGTTCGTTTTATAAAACATAAAACAATGAAAAATATGTAAAATATATATGAATATATTTGAATGTTATAGAGGTATTAGCACGTTTATATATTCAGAAGGCATGTCTTATACACTATAAGAAGCATGTGCAATCAAACGCCTTACATTTCTCTTTCGACGTTACTGCTGCTTATCATCACATTTTCTGATGATTATATTTTTTTTACATTACTGCTGGTTATCATCACATATCAAACGAAGGGAAAATAATTTTAGCTGTAGCCACAGTTAGTCAAGGAAGAGCAATACGCCCTCGTTTATTGATAGTTGACCCCTGAAGATGACAGTCCATATCTCAAAACGTATCTTAGAAAAACTACCATCATTTTAATATATGCCATTTCATATAAAACATTTAATTGGTACCATTTACATCAACAATGTTGAAGAAACAATTCAAAATGTGTAAGCGATGATCACGTAATTTGTTTGTATTTTAAGAAGAATAACGTCAATCTTAAAGCTAAAAAACCTAAAACATACATTCAAAATTTATTTCATTACAGTAGATATTCCGTGCAATTAAACACGATTTTATAGAATAGTGGTACAATAAGTTTCAGATTATTTCTGCCAAGAGCACCATCCGAAATACATCATAATATTGACTTGCTATTTTCTACATTTTATGCAGATTTTTTGGAGTATATTATACAATTAAACAGAAAATTCACAAGAGTATGTCCATAAGAGATGTTATGATAAGTGTTTAATCTCGTCCCACTTTTCCCTTTCTCTAACTTTACATCTAACTGAAAGTATTGTTTTACATTATATTTGATTATCACTATTAAAGTATTTTCTTGGGCTGACAACTAGTTATTTCATGTTCATCAGCTTCATAGGAGTGGTCCTGAGAAAGCTCAATTATATCAAAGCACCGCGAGATGACTAGATTTACATCTAGTTGTTATGTTACCCTATGCGAGCGTCGGTTTAAAGACACTTTCAACAAACTTTAAATGATGATGATTATTTGTGCATTTTGTTGAGTCTAGTCTAATATAATACTGGTGAAGCTTATATGATTTACTGTTCTCTGGCATGTCATTTGTCAAGTACCTTCTAAAGGCCCTATGTAAAGTTTAGTTTCACAAACTTTACGTGAGGGCCTTTAACCAACTCTATATGCGCAGTATATTCTAAATTAGTCTTAGATACATTTGTCTCTCAGCTTCGCGTGCTTCAGGACTAGGGTCTCCCTCCTTTAAGTTTGCCAATTCTGTGTCTCGCTTAACTATGGTGAACCATTCAATAAATTCTTGCCCAAAAGCCTCGCATATTACTGTATCTTCATGCAGTATTTTCAGGGATTCATCTAAAGATCTTGGAAGTGCAGGACCGTCAGGGTCTGCTTCTTTGGGGAGTTGGATTTTGTTTTTAATCCCATCAATCCCGGCCGCGATTGTACTGGCGAGAATAAGGTAGGGGTTAGCTGCACCGGAGGGCAGTCTGTTTTCGATGTAAGTCCCGGACTCACTTGCGTTCTTTACTCGTAACATGCTCTCTCGGCTACCTATACCCCAGTTTGATTTATCAGGACACCATGATTGACCCATACGTCTGGAGCAGTTAACCGTTGGGCACTGTAGTGCAGTCAAAGCAGGAGCGTGGGCCAATATACCTGCTATCCAATAGTTCGCGATATCAGACAAACGGTTAGCTTTAGTGCCATCGTAGAATATATTCTTCCCCGTACCGATGTCCCACACGGAATGGTTGAAATGAGCGCCAATAAAGGCATGGAAGTCCGGGTGTTGTTTATAATGTTCAAATGGAGCCGACATAAACGTGGCTATGATCTTCTTGTTTTGGCAAATCTCTTTTATACCCTGCTTTATAATGAAACAATTGTCTGCGAAGTCCATGTCATAAACTGGGTTCATTGTGATTTCGAACATTCCAGGCCCGTATTCTGTTTGAAATGTCTCCGTATCCATCCCTATGCTATGCAGTTGCGAATCAATATCACATAGCAATTCCTCAAAGTTGGCCATAACATTGCTCACAAATGCATCTTGCCCAGGAAATACTGGCTCTAGTGTCGCTTCATCCAGCATTTGACACTCGATCTCGCTTGCCGCCATTATCTTATAACCTAATTCCCGAAGGCGCGCCACCTGGCGCCCGGCAACTGCTCTTGGGCAAGCCTCTTGTGGGGAATTTTCATTCCAGTACGTCTCACATAACACTTCGCCCATTTTGTACTTGCCGTTGGCCGCCCATGGCAACTCGTGGAATGTTCCTGGTTGGGGTACGAGGATTGCGTCAGGGTGACCAAGCTCCATTACTCTTGGTATTGCGGGGACCTCGCTCAAAGGATTCGCAGCCATGGTTCCAGCGTACATTCCCATACCAACACGGGAAAACTTGGCGAAATGACGTCTCGGGATAATCTTTGATCGGGATATTCCGTTAAAGTCCGTAAAGGAAAATCGGATGTACTCACAACCACCTGCCTTTATGGCGAGCTGTTCCAGATCTTTTAGATTGTTGAAAGGGAACGACATGGTGATATTTGGTCTTCTTGTCTGGAAAGAAACACAAGAGTCTAGAATTTCGAAATGAGTCCACTTTTTGAAAATGGTTTTCATAAGTAATTAATGAATTTTCTGGCTTTGTAACCAAGCGCCTCTTTGTTTTCACAATTTTGAATGCCCCGCGGAAAGTTTTTTCACGTTGACTTATTTTGTAGTCTTTAAATTGTACAATCAAGATGTGATATGTGGAGCATCTGTTGAAAATATAGAGAGAATTTTAATTTGTCCGAAATGTTGTATTCCATTGCCTTTTCTCTAAAACAACATTTAGGAGATCATACGCATCTATCTATAACAGGCCTATCAACGCGAACCTCAGTTCTGACCTCGCGAACTACGTTCCTTGCACTCGAAACACGATTGTCACATCACGAACGTGAAATCTTTAGTCGCGCACGCCCATTTCCTCGCTGGGGAAATGGTGATGCGCGACTAAAGATTAGTCACAAAAACGTACCAAACAACTTCTAAGTAGGTTAAATTCATAAAAAAAGAATTTGGATGATTACAGTATATCTTTTAAACGTTTCATGGAGTCTTTGAGGTTATATGTCTTCCTTTTTTAATTTACTGCTGTCATGCTCCACATAAATTGCAAAGAACATCACACTGTTATCCTCCTTCAAGGTAAACTTGACTACATTGATATTATTTTCAGTTTCTGGGTTATATTTTCATTGGGAAAGTATCTTTGCATTGTCTAAAACATTGGATTACCTACAGTACAAGTTGCCTGAAGTTGATGATACAAGGATTCTTTTCAGAAAGACATACTGTAACATACTATAATATATTCGTACCTTTATGATTCATTTTGAATCTGAAAATAACAATGAGCCTTCTGAGTTTATTTCCACAATACAAGTTATCTGTGCAGATGGTTGCTCAATACACGAATGTACGATTTAAAACATAAAAACTTCATTACACTAAAATGTAATAAATATATCCTAGCCTGGCACCATTCCGAGGGCATTCACTTAGTTCACAGATAAAGTGAATTATGTTCGCCATAAAATACAAAAAAAACTTAAACGTAAAGAGGCGCAATCGGCTATACATGCTGCAGAGAGTTGACAATTTTTTGTGCAGCCTTGACAGTTTTCATTGAGAGCTTAAACCATCCGTGTTTATTCATCTTTAAAATGCCAGATTCCTACTTTTATGTTTAGGAATCTGTGTCTAATTGTCGTTTCGTGTAACTTAACTGGAATAATACTTTATTTTGCATGTATCTATCCAGTCCGAAAGAAATCCAGGATGGAAATATTGCAATTGACTTATTGATTCCCTTCTATAATTTCACAGTTTTTATCTTGCTAAAAACAAGCTCGCTCTTACCTTTCTTTATATACAGTTGACTTCTGGTGTGAAACAGAACTCATCTACTTGAACAGCAGCCACAGTTTAAATCCAATACCTCCTATTCCAAATGCTACGATGCAATGCGAGTATAAAAAATGAGGCCAGGGTTTTAGAGGCAATAAATCTTAGAATGCCGAATTCGTGCAATAGCTGAAAATAACTCAGGTTTTAAGCGTTTGAATGCTAGATTGTATTTCCTATTTGCTATTGCTAAACATTTTATTGAAATCATGATTGCATGTTTTTTGCGTATAGACGTATATCTTTTGTGAGACTTAAGTAGCAGTTGTTGATGGTTATAATGTTGTGTACCATATGCTAACAGGAGTTCATCATATCCATCATTGTTCAGCACACAGATCGGTATTTAAAATGTTGAACAATACTCACCCGTCGAGAGTATTTCCGATGGGGGTTTTCTGTGCAAAAGTAGAATTGCATTCTAAAGGGAACTAAGCTTGTAAACGCGAATGCTACTTTCGGCTACCGGATTAACCTCAGTACTATATTCTTTGGGCAACTCTTTTAAGTATGAATAGTATTTGCCATCATTCCATTCATATTTAAATGAGTTGGTCATAAAAAAGTAGGATAAACCGGTAGCCGAAAGTTGCACTCGCGAATACAAGTTAAGCTTGCGTTGGTTTAATCTATTGCCACGAAGTTGCTCTTCAATTTCCAGATTCGCCTCTTATCAGACCGATCTCTGGCAATCCAAACATGTAGCGAAATAAGATTAAATCCAATCAATTTAGAGAGGAGTATTTTGATATTTTGATCTGTCCTTTCAAATAAATGGTTTGAAAGTTTCCTTTTCATAGTTTCTGTAACATGTGGCAGTGATACATGTACATACAATTAACATTAGAGTATTTTATTTGTAATTTGCCAACAATCAATTCCAGAGACACCCCCAAACCCCAAAATACCCAACCATACTTAATATTCTACATATATAGAGGGAAAAGATACAGAAAATATTCGTGGGGGAGAAAAGGTCACCGTGACAGCGCTTCTTCAGAAATAATAATAAGATTTAAACAAAAAGTTTTGGAGATTCTGATTTCTAACAACTTCGGGTGAGGAAGCCCATCTGTGCTTGGTACCCATCCCATCCGAAAAATTTCAGACAAACGGTTCCAGGAAAATTGCAATGAGGAAAAGTATGGAATACTGTGTATTTTACGCAGACAGTACAATTCAAAGTACAAGGTCGACAGAGACAATGAGACATACAGTACCCAACAGTCAGACCAGAATAAGAAAACAAATATTTCATTCTATTTTCGGTGAATACCTGTTGCACTTTCAATGATTAAGCAAGCTTTGCATTTAAAACATATTATATTGCAGTTTTATTTATTGTACCTAAAATACTGTGAAATTGACACTAAAATGGCGGCCATTTTGAAACCGGCGGCCACAATCGGCTCTCGAGCAGAACTTGTACTCACATCTAAGACACGTACGTATAAAATATAAACGATACCAAGACCAAGGGACAGACGGACGGAGTTCTCTATATCCCCCCGAACGTCGTTCTATAGGATGAAAATGGTAACCCCCCCCCCCCCCCCAGGGAACATCTTTAAGATTTTCGCATCACATTATGTTCCAACACTAAAGGGACTGTCATCCTTTAAAAGGGTGACATGAATAATACCACATGTTTTGGTATAGCACGATCGTGATCTTACTTTTTCATTGACAAACAATAGGCATTATACAGTTCCACTTAGGGTTGTCTAAATAATTTATTCTAAAGTAGACAACTTTCATTTGTTCTTTTAACTCGAAACTCGGCATCCCTCAATGTTATCAACCTCAATCAAGCGAGGCATATCTTTGTACATATACATATATTCAACATTTCATCATTAATTGCTTAATTTTTCGATGGTCAAAAGTAAGATTCCAATGTTCCTCGTCTCCTTATATCACAGGTCCAACAATGGAAGCCACCCCCAAGTGTGTTGGCGTGACGTATGTCTATTGGGATAGCCTTCAGTCCGAATGATTCAAACATGGCCGCTGTGGTCGTTTCTGTTTTCTGTACGCATACTCTATGTGGGTCCAACATGACAACGTTCGCAGATAACCATCGCGAGGAGAACCAAAGAGGATGATCTATAATACAAAATATGCACTTCAAAGTATAAAAAGACAGCAGCATGATACAAGTACAAGTATACAATGATTTTTGCCTTGTATACTCAAATTTAACGCAAACGCATGGTTTTGGTCTATATTTGTAAAAACAATTTTTCAGTCTTTTTCAAAACTAAAGAAAGTTCGGGTACTTGGGGTGCATCCAATTTATAATAGCTGACAGATACATTGGCAGGTTACGGTGGAAGATATCAATTGACTATGTGGAGCGTTCATTCTGAATGGATTTACATTTGTTATTGCAATAGCCACAGAGAGGTAACCTAGATAGTTTGAAAAATAGTTTTTTTTTGTTTTTTTTTCGGTCAACTTGACATTATGAGCCATTTTTACAGAAATATAGGAGTTGACGTACACCGGTGTTACATAGTTGAGGGTATACAGCATGTTGGTGGTGCTCCAAAGAATGACTCAGCGGCAAAAAAAGTGGGACGAAAAGATGGCAATTATTTATTATATTATGTCTCCGATGAGAAAAAATATTGACAAATCACGCTGCCATCTTTTAATCGAGTTAGCACCTTTGCTAAGTACCTGGGGGACAGAGTGGTTTAGGTGCCGTCAATATGGTCCATCCGGCCTTCTTAATCATGTCCAGCTCGTGACAGGGTCTCTCTGGATGCGTTAGGACCAACCCAGGTCCGAGGATGTTGAATGTTGTGTCTATATGCATTGCATGGGGGTCCGTAAAGTTAAGCTTGTGAACCTTTATACCCTTAGGAGCAAGATGACTTCGCACCCACTCAATGCCGAAGTCATTAGTCACCTACAAAGATAAAAGGTTTTAGAATAACATAAGGCAATAATATTGTATTGTATATTTATATATTATATATGGAATAAATGAGAAATGAAAGAAATAACATAAGACAATGACCCGAAGTTGATTGGACAATGTTAATACATCAAAAGACTATCTCCAACGCAGAGTGTCGACCAACATATCTTGTATTGAAGGAACGACTATTAGAAAGGGTTTCGACCCGGTGTAAAAGGGTAGGAGGTCCTATCAAATTATGGTCCAACAAACAACTCTTTCCCTCATTATCTTATACGCAATCAAGGCCAGAAAGGGCCGTTAAGAAAGGGCACCATAATCCCCGGGGACCATCATTTCTTTCACACAGGGGGTTTCGACTTACTTGACTTCTCTGCACAAAGATGTCAGTTCCGGCTCTTATGAAGTCAGCCGTGTCGAACACTGGTTCAAATTCCGTCGTCAGGAACTTGCCATTGTTTGCCATTTCATATCGTTTATCTAGGTCGCCAATAGGATAGTCCTATCAATTGAAAGAGCAATTAGAAACAACCATACCTTCGACACTATACTTATGCTTTCTAATTCGTCATGTTAATTTTAGGTAATTGTATTAGGTAATTTTTATGGCAACTTTCATTGTTTGATAGAGAAGCTATATGGACATCAGAATAGGCAGAACTTTAACGATGAAGAGAAGATATACAAATACACAATCCTCATGGTATTTAAGCCTAAAGAATGAAGGATGAAATATTTACATTGTCGTAGAGCTCTTGAGACATCTGTGGTCGAGGGGCTGATGTCCACTTGGCACCTCTCTTGAAGTAGTCCTTCATTAAAGCTCTGTATGCCCTGTATTCAAAGAACCGTGACCGCCAGCACATCGGGGCTTCGATTATTTCGTCTCCGACAACCATCCAGATGTCTCGGGGCATTGCCGCATACAAACCTAGATAAGGAAACGCACTGTTCTTATGGCATTTTTCATTTGTTCTTTACATATATGATAGTTTGAATTGCAGGGACGGGGTTGTTTTATTTGTTAGTCTGAAAGTAGCATATCAGATAGTTTTTCTTAAATTAGGTGACAGGGTGATATATTGCATTTTCTTCTTGGTTTGATATTTTTGTAAAAACGAATGATTACTTACCAGTGGATGCGAAATCTGGGGTTTTATAAGGAACTGACCAGTCTATTATATCAGGCTGTTTTACTGTTATACCCTCTGCTTCTAGAATTCGGCAAAACTCGGCAATTTCCGTTATTGCTTTGTTAACAATCTCCTTCGGGAATGGTTTACTAGCCTGTTTTTTCATGAACTCAAAATTATCGCCATATGAGTTAACCTGAAAAGAAAAAGAGCCATCTGTCTATATAAAGCGCTAGCAATATCACGGTGTTATAGCATGACGTCTGTTACGCCACCTCTGAAAACGAGGTTGGACAGCTACGTTCACTGATTTATCCAATAACATGGCCGCGATGGAAGAGAAAACTAAGGTTGGTGCATTATTTTCTACTACTGTGTATAAATGAACGGATGAACGATTTATGTATGCGTCTTCATCAGTACTTGATCCTAAATCTTCTTTTGCCTCTTCATTGCTATCTTTTACACTTTCATCGGTTTCATAAATAAAGCAAGAGACAGTTTTTTCCTTGCCTTATAGAGGCTGAAACAAGAGCGTCTCTTGCGAGTCCTGAAACTGAATATAGGAAATTCAATATTCTATTTCTTACCCATTATAACAATAACATGGATAGAGGCTATCAGACCTAGCAACCTTGATTTGACAGATCTACATGCCGTAACCGTCCGCTAAATATCTTATGTACAACTAATACAATACGTTACCGTCCATATAATTCGATAGAAGTCATACGTAGTCGTCTAACGACATTGCGTTTTAAACCTTATTATTTACGATATACACCACGTTCCTGTTCTGGATTTGTCATTTTATGCCTTGTTTATACACAGTTTACCTACATTTTGAGTGGCTCTGAGGCACATGTACTGAGAAAACACGAGAATGGACCAAAAATTATAAACTTGGATATCTCAGTCGGTAGGTTTACAGCTTATATTCTGTTTCTTGTAGGCCACCTGGCAGATTTGACCCAGTCTTTATAACCATCCATATATACATCACCGAATGGAACCAGTTTAAAAGGAAATCTTATATGTGAATATTGCCTACAGGCGAGAAAGAGGACATGCTGCCTTTACCATCCGCCATTTTTTGTTATCGTTACCGCAAAATTTTGCAAATCGCCTTGACGTAACCGTCATGCTATAACACCGTGAATATTGTCGAATGATATGTTTTCAGATATATATTTAAAAGTGAGGCATTGAGGGGTTGCATTAGATCGGATATATGTTAATTGTTATAATTGAACTAGATTTAAAATGAAAATAAAACTGGCTTTTGATATGAGACCAAAAATCTTTTTGAATTTGAATAATCTAATCGTTCAACTTGTGAAAACGACATCCTAGATTGATGAATTCGACTTTGTAATGAAAAGAGTGAAGAGGGGGTTATTCAATTCATGGATCCGGATTTGCTTCAGTTTGGGTTGAATTTTTTCTTGTACTCTACCTGTATTTCTTTTTCAAATGGTGGGCAGAAAGCTCCCTCTGCCCGTCCTACTATGACTTCCTCCAAGGGGTCCCAGCCGTTCCATGACCACACGGGACTCTTTAGGTTTGTGCCTGAATTAATAATACAGACACTTATTTGTTATGCCTGTATACGACTAAACTGGACTCTGGGTTTGTACATGACATAAAAATGAAATAATGGTATAATTTTTGCCTATTGACTAACTGGTATTCATACTTGACCTTATCCTTACTAATACAGGTTATTAATTCCGGTTTTCCACCCATTTCCTTATCATCTACATGTATATGACTACTTTTCTAAGAAAACAATTTGCATATTGATGAAAGGAGAAATGCTAAAAGTAGCATTTCCATAGCTTTCTGCGATTTATCAGAGTGAAGGTGGGATCCCCGCAGCTCCACCACGCCATTTTTGTTAGGTTTAATACACTCACCAGTGGGTAGTTCAACTTTTTCACATTTGCTGTTTACCGCGTATGGAAGTTTGGACTTGTCAGTCGGTGTTGTTCGCCAACTCTCTGTTTCTGTGGATAAATCACGTGACAGTACTGAGCTCACTGTTTGAACAAGCTTAAACATAAAATAAAACAATGTCATCATAAATAACATAGTCCATCAAAACAGGTACCTCGGGCAGTAAGATCACATTATTGATTTTGCATTTTGCTTGATGTCTCTGGAATTGGGTAGCAGGCCATGTGTGATAATGATAGCTCTAGACCAAATGTTACTAGTTGTGACGCAGCTAAGACACATAGGGTCATGGTGGCCAATCCACTTAAAAGGATTGACGTACTTGACCCAGAGGCCGTTGTTTTTTGGGAGTCAGTATCACCTTTAATCACATTTATGCTTCAAATTTCAACTTAATATTTGGCTCCCTCACTTCGGAAACGAAGATAGTTTCTCAGAGAACGAGTCCAATCCCCCTACCCTACATTTACAATGTGTTTAAAAATAGCAAAATGATTTTTATCAACTTCTTCAGGAAGTCGGGTTGTGTCTTCATTTTCAGTTGATCCCAAATATACTATTTCGAACAGATTGTTTTGGTACTGCACTTCGAAAATTGCATCACGTGGCTATGACAAGCGTACATTTAGGGTAGAAAAACAAAACCAACAAACAAAAAACCGCATTCAGTGCAAATATAACCTGTCCCCCCCCCGGCCAAAAAATCATTCAAAATCATGCAGTTTTTCACCATTCTGAGCACTTCAGTGATTTTGGCCATTTTTGGACCAAAATTGTCACAAGTGAATTCCCCTGGAATTTTTCAAAAGGTGAACCCCCCTTGGAAAATCCTGGCTACGGGCCTGATATGTATGTAACTATGTATGTATCTTTTATTCCTGATCGGGTTGGATTTCATACCAAACAGTTTAACTCGACCTTTAACACATATCACAAAGTATATGTCCTTATTTTAGCCTTGTATTTGATTGCAATTAATCAACAAAGATTCCTTATCTAATGTAATTCAACCTGTCCCGAAACTGTCTACGAGCAGCATTAATGTATAGGGTGGACTGAAATAAATGATCACATCAGAAAAGGCTAACATAATTTGTATTGAATGACTTGTTGTGTAGTATGTATCAAAAAGAGGAAAGCTGGATTTCTTAAAATCCAAAATGGTTTAAAATCAATGGTTGATATTGAACGAAAAAATTGTTTAAATTGAAAATAATTGTTAAAAAATAGATTACATAATGACATTGATATCATTTCTTTCTTTGTGTGCTAAAATTTTGCAATTGTAGGTTTAGGATATTGGCACATTTAATCGACATAAAACGCTTTTAATTTTGACAAACTATTCCAATGGCATATATTTGTATGTTACAATTACATACTATTGCTGAATTCTTTTGATATTTATACATCATTGTACATTATTGATTAAAAATCGTATTGTTGTTTATTTTGGCCCACTCTGTATAGCTCGATCATTGATGGTATTGTAGGACTTTGGATGTCCTTCAGTTTTATGTTCTGATATATTTTACCCAACCATAATGCACAAGACTGAAGTAACCGGAGCTTAATTAATTAAAAGAAGAGATTTGGGTATGCGTTTTCATGACTTTTAAAAGTTCATGGTGATCCGTGTCGCAAAGTGGCTAACCCAGCTACATTAACAAAACCCACCCCACTGTCAGAAAAGGAGTTGGACAGCTGGATGTGGTCCACAATATGCCTTTGCTCAATTTATCCGATACTCTGGTGATCTGTTATGGGTTCGATTCCCACTCAGGTGGAGTAATTTTCACACCAGTCCTTAGAACATGTCGACTATGACTTGATCCTGTGTTTGAGCTTAACTAAAATATAATCTGTAAATTAGAGTACTCTATTATACTATACAGGCTTTCTAATGGAAATAAAAACAAATGTATTTTAACGAGGGGTGTCTCTTAACTCTTTACGCTTACCTTCTTCAGATCTTTGCATTGACATAGCAAGGAGCTGCTCAGCTTACTTGGAAGCATTATCCTTTTGTATCGAATGTATGACAATCGACTCTGTTCAGTCCAAATGCGATTTCAACAATGATAGCAGTGATAAAGTAAATGCTCAATTTTTTGGCAAGTGGAGGGATGGATTCAAAATTTGAAAATGATATTGACTTAGAATCAAAAATGGATGTTTGGAGCGTACGCTGGTGATTCCCTAGACCCGAATTGAGCGATGCTTTATTCAGCAGAATCACTGGATTATATTAAATAATGTAACCATTGTACCAGTATATTCTGTGCCATATATATATTCATTCATGGTAGTTGTGTGCGTGTAATCAGGATCCGTCCCAATTTGTTAGTCAAGTGACCTTAAATCATGCGAAGATGAATAAAGTCCAAAGTTTCGTCTATTACTTTATATCAACTTTTTAAACCAATTATTTGAATATGATCATAAGTATTACCTTAATTTCTTAAATAAAGAAATATGGGATTCAAGTAAACATGTCCTGTGTTGTAATGTAATATAATGTATACTACTTACGGATAAAAATTATTTGTTAACAAATGCAGTATTCGATTGAGATAACTGAATTGAAAGGTGTCTAAGGAATCAAGATTCAATAATTTCATAATATCAATAATCAGAATATTTATATTTATCATGAATGCAATTCACTTCTTCTATCCCAAAAAATCTCAAAATTCACCATCTACAGGGTGGGCTAAAAACGTCCATATTTTAGAATTACCTTTGCATAATTCCATGACGTATATTAGAACACGATGGACATGTTCAAGTTCATTACAGAACACATTATGTGTGATGCTTGCGCTATTACATTGTTCATTTCTGATAAAAATTGAAGCATTGAAAAAATGAGAATAATATGGAAGATTATTTGAACTAGTTCAACATCAAAAAACGGAACTGGTAGGCCGAATATACTGGGTGAAAAATGAATGAGACAAATGATCTACTTTTGGTTATGAAGATTGGCTGAGTATAATTTGAGTGTCTAAGAATATTGAAAAAGTAAGTTCTTTAATTTATGGACTCTAGCACATCACTGGTCTTCCTTACTACAAATAAGACCTCGGAAATGTTTCCCAGTACAGGTGGCCTGTCTAAAATTAAATCATATTTTTCTTGAGGTTAAATCAGTTTTTTCGTCTTACTTATTTGTCCGGTGTTACTTCTTATATTATATTCAGTTATGCAGTGGGAACAACCTAGCCGATCTTTGACTGACTAATTATTAAGTCAAACCTATATTTTGCCATAAACATCAGTGTAAAAGTCGGGCTTCAAATATTATCCTGAAAACTGTTTATTTTCATTTAGACCCCAAGTATATGTTATCTTTCTTATTCAGAAACCCGTGACGAATTATTTATCCATATTAGGTGAAATGTGATTCTCGCATCTCCATATGAGGTTTTTTGGCTCAACCTGTAATTTAAGGAGAACCCATTTGTAATATTTATAGATTCATCTAGATCATTCACCCTTTCTTAATAATATCTCGTCATGCTGACTTCAGGTGAATTTAAGTCAGACTTTAACCCAACATATACTTGATTCTAGACCTGGATGGGGACATCGCAATTGGCCTACATGATTTATTTTATTGGATAAATCTGAGTATGGCAATAAGGAAGTTAACTTTTTTCTTATCAATCGTGTCAATGGTTTGTCCAATCAGTCTGTGTACTTGTCCAGTTTCGATTGTGGTTTCGACTGCGTTTTTATATTGAGTGTTTTTATTGGTCGAGTACTTGTGTGTCACTTGTACGTAGAAAACATAACTGGATGTCTATTCTAGGTTCCAAGCGAGGTGGATATTTTTATTTATTCCATAACAAGTGCGTGATACAGGGGTTGCCATTTTAGTAAAGGGTGTAAATACGTTTCTGTGCTTGATACAGGGTATATTTAATGGAAAAGGTTAAATTATGATGTTGAATTATTGGTGTCTATCATATATTTAAGAACTGCCATCTATATATGAATATAAAGTTTAAATAACTAACGTGAACAAAAGATTAATGAGATTCTGATTGTTTTGTTCTGAGAATGCTGCTGCCATCTTTGAATAAACTCTAAATTATCAATGATATAATTATAATCTATTGTGATAACGAACACCTCCCAATCTGAATGTTTTTAACTGCACGGTGGCATTTGGATTAGACAGGTTTTACTGTATGATTAATAGTAATACTGAAATTAAAAAAATCTGAAGGCCTAGTCAATCTATTTTGGGAAATATTCTCAGCTATTTGAAATGAAGATCAACTTTGTAAGAAGTCTCTATAATTATTTTTTTAATTTATACAATAACATTATACTCAACTTTAGTTCAAATTCCAATGCTCTGGCCTTGGCTAATCAAAACAGTTCATTGCAATTGTTTCATCAATTATTATATTATTATATTAATATATCATAATTATTTCACATGCAAATACTGTACTGCCACTAATATTTGATGCTGTTATCTTTCACAATTTTGCAATTTTGAAATTTTGCGGATATCAATTTTCGCTAATTATAAATTTTTTATAATTTTGTATCTATTTCTTTCACCATCATATCATTTCTCAAAAAAATTTCCAGCTTATTTGATTAAATGTTTTTAAAACCAAGAAATATGAATGAAACAGTACCTTCTTACCTTTAATTATTGCTATACCATGTACTTAAAGCCTTTACATGACACCTATCAGCTATCACCTGCTTCAAAAGCATAGGTGAAACTAAACTATTGAAATCAAGTGCTCACTTTAAATTTTTTTATATTTTCTGTTTGGGAAAATCTGTTAGTTATCAGCTGCATTTTTGTCAGTCAAGATTTCTCTTCATCAAACCAAATCAAATCCAAGGAATGTTTAGTCAAATATCCAGTTGTTCAGGAATCGAACTCAATTCAAAGAATGATTAGTTCCATAGTGTAAACATATACTGTACAACTTTGAACAATATTGGTATCAGCCATTATGTTACATTAAAAAAAACAGAATGTAAAACTGTAAAAGACTTTCATGTAAGCAGGAAATTTCTTGAAAGAATACTAAAGGTTTCGCAACAGAATTTAGACGGTCATATGTTGAATTGCAGAAATTTTCTGAAAATGTAAGGTGTGTATGTTAGGCCAATGCATTATCTAAAGGAAAAGTACTCATACAGATGATAAAAAAATTGGAGATTGAGACAGGGAAGGTGCATCAACATTTTTTTTTCAAAAATGTTTTCCTGATTTTCAGTTCCTTCCATTTTTTTAATAATGTTTTCACATTAATATGTTGCATTTGTAGACAAAGTTAACATACTAAAGAGAAAATATTTTCCTTTTAAGAGTTTATTTGTGTCTCCAAATGCAACATACTGATGCATAAAACATTTATAAAAATTGAGTAGAAGGGGAAATTTTAAATTCAACGAACATATAGGCCCACTGAGCATTTATTTTGCACAGGGCCTTTATTAGAAAGAACTCAAAATAAATGCCATTGGCTTTTATTAAGACTAAGAGGGAAATTGAAAACATTTTTCCAAGGGGACAGGCATTTATTAAGAGGGAAAATAGCTTTCCCAAGCCAGTGGGTGTTTATTTCGAGGCGTATTATCAATCGAAGAGTTGACACATGGCCTTCATATACTCATGCAATAGTATCTATCATCTCTGATTGCACACTTCTGTTTTACCTTTCAAGCATTCGATTTTGGATTTTGGAATGTCATAAAGCTATGCGGTCAAAAGTAATCTTAATACTTTTTAGTGAAAATGCATTTATATTTTTAAAATGCAGAATCTTGCGAATGCAAAATCCTCGAAATCCGATCACCTCCACATCTGAATGTTTTTTTTAACTGGTCATGGTGTTTTAACTGGTCATGGTGGCATTTGGATTAGACAGATATTACTGTATAAGTATTAGACAGATATTACTGTATAAGTATAATAGTATTACTGGAATTCCAAAAAATCATAACGCCTACAATGCTAGTAATATTAAGTGAAAATGCATTAATATTTTTTCAAAATCAAGAATCTTTCGGATGCAAAAACCTCGAAATCAGACGTTTAAATCTGAATGTTTTTATTTTGTAGCGGTGGCATTTGGATAAGACAGGTTTTACTGTATAAGTATAATAGACATTAATAGTATTACTGGAATTCCAAAAAATCATAAGGCCTATAGCAACAATCATGTGAACTTCAGGTCAAAATTCCAATGCTCCCTTGGCCAATCAAATCAGTCCATTGCATTTGTTTCATCAATGCTCTCAATATCATAATTATTCCACATGCAAATACTGTACTACCGGTTAATTTGCGAGTTTAAATTTCATGAATTTTGAGAAATACCAATTTTGCGGCCATTAAATTTTGCGGATATCAAAGGTTTAACTTCCATTATTCTCTGAATCCTCAAAATTAATTTATCTTATCTACAGTAATTACACCTACCCAATATCATATACTTTGGATAAGATTTACAATCTCTAGATCTTAGTCAATGGCATGTTGCACCTCAGCCTTTAATTGGCGATATTCGCGACTATTAATTTTCGTGATTTTTACACAATCGCGAAAAGCACGAAACTAAATTGCACGCGAAAAATATCGGGAGTACAGTACATTGAAACCATACACTCTTATATTTCATAAGAATTTGCAATCAAGCCTAACAAATCTATTGTCAAAATATTAGAAGGCCAGCAAATGTACACATGCTAAAGTGATGAAACTTTAATGAATTTTAATTTTGCCTATACTGAGATGTGTTAAACTCTATTTGGGTTAGATTTATTCGGCTACACCCTCTACTTACAGCCTTAACATGCCCCCTATCGGCTATCACCCGCTTCAAAATCATAACAGGTTCCTTTATATCTTTATCTTCTGTTTAAGAAAAGCTGTTAGCTATCAGCTGTATTTTTGTCAATCAAGATTTCTCTTCATCTGTGAATTACCCAGCGAGAAACCAAAATGGCAATTTTGATGGAAAGACACAAAGTACCAGTCAAAATCTCTGAAGATTTCCGGGCAAACAATGGCAGCTCTCCCAGTTAGGTTTTAGACTGTCTTCTCATATTTTGTCAATTTTATTCAATTTCAAGTATTGTTTAGAGTTGTGCGTTCAATATATTCGAGAAGTCAATAGCTATAATAAATCTGCAGATTTTGCTCGCATTTATGTAAGCTTTTCTCTTTTGACGGATACTTTGTGTCTTTCCTTGAAATCATGACAGGTGTAACTGATCTACTGAAATCAACTTCAAGTGCTTACTACTATCTCCCAATGTGAGCTACATCAATGCTTTTTGTTGAGAAAATATGTAAGTTACATGTATTAGCCGCTTTTTTGCCGATCAGGATTTAAATTCTCTTTATCTGTCATGTACCTAGCAAGATTCAGAGATTTTGACTTGTACGTCATGTCTTTCCGTCAAAACTTCCATTTTTGGTTTCTTGGTAAAGAGTAGCTTCTCAATGTATAATGAGAATTTGCTGTTCGGCACAGAAGCACCTTTTAATTTTTTTCGATTTTCGCAAGGAGGACACTAACACAATTTTGAAGCGGTTGATAGGGGGCTCTAAAGGCTGTTCTAACATATCAGTCACAGCCTCTGAAAGAGCTAGATCTAAGGCTCTAGCTTAAGGCTAGTCTAAGTCCTATAGATCTGGTAGTCTAGGCCTAGAGTCATCCCGTAAAAATGTAAAGAAATAAAGCTTACAGCATGTTCTATTTAAGTGAATTTGACTCATGTTATACATGTTCCGGGCCTATGCCTAGTATAGTCCCGCAGGACGAAGAAGATAGAATGTAAAAATCAAATTGAAAATCAAAATAATCGAACGAAAAAAAATTGAAAAAGTTGAAAATTCGATTTCGATTCAATTTGATTTTCTGCCATTATAAATGAAATACTGTACTTACCAACATGTTTCTCGGATATATATGTTGTTCTTACTTTATCTTCGCCGAAGATCGATGTTTATTTATATATAACAATCGAATAATCGACATAATTCAAACTCATCACTACGACACAAAAATATATCACTTTCGAAACCATGTAAACTGCTAAGATGACGTCATTTATATCCGGGATTGCTTTGCAAACTCCACACAACAGACTGTCCCATCTTTTCTCCTGCTTTCTCCCGATGCAATTCATACATTACTCGGAGATTACTGTCAAACGTTCCAAGTTTTACAATTTTAGCATGTTTATTACGATCTAATTCCTGCCAGTATCAATGAATAAATCTATTGACCAACAGATTGGAAATATGTATTCCAGCGATACCCTCATTTTGACGAAAGAATGGTACAAATATGTCCACTATTTATCGAGATATCGTGTAGAAAAATTGAAGAAAGACATCGCTTAAGAAATTTCTATTTCTAGACTGAACTGTTCACGCTCGCAAGTGGCATCTCCAACTCCATATATGGGCAAAAAGGTGGAGTTAACAATAAGCAATGCAGGGACTGACACGATTGACACGAAGAAGTCTCGATGAATCTCGCTTAAACTCCGCCCCTTCTTCGTGAAAAATCACGTGAATTCCGGCTTTTGCTGGGACATATCCGGGCATCTCGGCTTCGAACCCAATCAGAAGTTTCAATTTTGACTGGCGCCGCATACATTATCTCAAGTCTCACCTAATATTTTTATGTATACGTTAATAAATGTTTTCCCTAGGAAATAAACTATCTGGAAATAAAACTAATATTTAAAAAATCCCATATCAGATCCTCTAGCAGCCAAAATCCCGTATCAGATCCTGTATTGGATCCCGCATTAGCCTTTAGAAATACCGTATCAGATCCTGTATTGGATCCCGCATTAGCCTTTAGAAATACCGTACCAGATCCTGTATTGGATCCCGCATTAGCCTTTAGAAATACCGTATCAGATCCTGTATTGGATCCCGCATTAGCCTTTAGAAATACCGTATCAGATCCTGTATTGGATCCCGCATTAGCCTTTAGAAATACCGTACCAGATCCTGTATTGGATCCCGCATTAGCCTTTAGAAATACCGTATCAGATCCTGTATTGGATCCCGCATTAGCCTTTAGAAATACCGTATCAGATCCTGTATCAGAACTCTCAGATCTGTTAGTATGGCATATTATGATCCATATTAGTATTATAAATTATTTCTATTTTAAAACTTGTTAAGAAAATTTGAAATTGTAATTTGATAAATTAAATTGTTTCATTTAATGTCACCATCATTGAGTGACAACATACACAAGTTTCAAAAAAATAAAATATTGTGGAATATTAGGTTATTGATGGTCATGATGAAATGTGAATTTTTGCCTGAGAAAATATGAAATTGGCATCCGAAAATATCATATTGACACTCGGCCTGTCGCCCTCGGTCAATACGATATTTACCTTGGTCAATATCTTATTTTCCCTCGAAATAAAATTCAAATTCCATCCCTCTCATCAAATGAGCTCTATTTATCCCACGGTGATACTATTAATCCCGGTTATACTGTGGAATTGTTTTTAATATTGAAAACAAATCGTATTTTCCTCCCATTCCCACTTACGAAAATCGTATCTACCTCCCGGGAAAATCGTATCTACCTCCCGGGAATTTCTGACAAACAACGCTTTCTATTTCGGTCAGTTTAGTCTGTATAGCGAGCTAACGGCATTTTCATGTAGATTTTCAAGGTTTTTTCAAACGAAGTTGAAAATCATGCATGATGAAAACAGATGTAAATATCATTAATTCATCATAGCATTGTGCATTAAAAAGTTGAAAAGGAAAACGTATATTTTTGGAGTATCTGAGTAAAAAATAAATTTTGATTTGATTTAATATTTTACTACAACTAACGTGATCCCCTATGGCGGTAAAATCTTCCGATCACATCCTTTGATAAATGGAGTGTAACATCGAGAGTAACCTTCTCTTTAACACATTTCTCGTGTTCAATATTTCAGGTCCACTTGCATTGAGGTAAAATCATTCATTCAGTTTTCATTCAGAAAAGAGTAAAAAAGGAGTTCAAATGTTGTCATAATGGTAATTATAGGAATTGTCCAGTGACGGGGTGGGAGTTGTGTGTCCTATCATTGTAAGCGATTTTGAAAAAATAAAAATGCTCTCTAGGTTTATTGCCAAGATGGAACGCCAACAAGATCCAGTTAGCACAATACTCTATTCCAGGTGCCAAGTGAGCATGCAAAGGAGAGTTCAACACAAATGATTTTTATAAATATTTTATATTTTCAGCAAGGCAAAAATGTGTCACTTTGATTTTTATATAGCATAGAGCAATTAACTTAAAAAATCGTCTTTAATAGTAGTTTGTATATCCCAGTCCCTCCATGAATTTATTCGGCTTATAACTGAACATCATTTGTTTTTCTTCATAAAGAGATTTGGAAAACTTTGATTTCATTAAGCTCTGACAAATACAACCAAATCTCAAAGATGTTTCAGCAAGCAACCTTAGGGCTTCGTGGAATATCACTTGTGAAAGATGCACAGGTATTTTACATTATAGACCATGATTCAGCATCGACAATTCTAGAACATTTAATACATATTATAGCTATAAACTTATTAATTTACTACTACATCTTTGAATGATATCAGCATATATGGCGCTTGTCATGAGTTATTTAACCATCATTATTTTTTCGCTAGTTATCAACCTATTATCTGTAATATTTACCAAGTTGCCATGGCATTAATAACGTTTGGATGCGTCTTTGACAATTCATTAACTGTTCCGCAGTTCTAGGCTCAACTGGGTGGACATGTACATTTCTGATATTTACCGGATCCCTCATCAATCGAGTAAGTATTTTGATAAATTTTAACAATTTTCAATATCTGTGTTTTAAGAAATATATCTAATGATTCAATATTCAGAGCTTTGAATTGTCTAAACCATTGCATAATATGTGAATTGTATTGAATAAGTTTGGCATTTTTGACTTATATAGTTCGATATCATAAGTGGTATTGACAAAAACGCATGTTTTGAATTTAGATGAGATTCTATACTTCAACTGTAAACCGCAGTGGGTACAAAATGAAAATTACGTAGTGTGCGAAACATGAACAGCTTGCTTTTTGTTTGAGTAGGCTATTTTTGTCATGTTTAGTTTAATTATTTAGAAAACTATATAAAACTTATGGTTTGAAAAATCTGTTTTTCTTCACGATACGTCTAATTGAACTTAGCTCTAAATTCGATCAGATTTTAATCTTGTATATTTATTTTTGTTACTGCCAAAAATGGACCTAATAACTTGCGTTGTGAGATTACCTTTAGTTTATTTTTTATTGTTCTATCTTCACCGCAAATACTATGATTTAATTTGACAGGAATTAGTAACTTGAATAATAAGACTGTACTGAAAAGTCTCCACTTTTTGCTTCTTCATTTTCAGACCGGCCTTTCTAACTTGATATATCTGGTTGAATTTTTGACATCGTCAAAATGTTAGCGGAACATGTTGGCGTTGCCATGGCAGAAAACACAACACGACCACCTATGAATGGTGAGTCCCCGAATCCTCACGACGAGTCACATGCTGCTATTTTAGAGCAAACCAAACCCCCATCATGGGTCCCAACAAAGTGGGAACATTTCCAGCAACAATGTGAACGGGATCGCATCGAGCCGCAGCAGCAAATCTGGCTACAGAATTCGCAACAGACAACACCCCAGGGTCAGAGCCACGCGACTCCTGAATGGCAGCAATCTGAATCTAAACGCCAGATATCGTCATGGCAACCTGTGTTACCTGGTCAGGAGAAGTGGCATCCCACCATGGAGAAAGGGGAGCAGCCCGTGAGACACCACCGACCGGCGAGAACAGGGAGAAAGGATTCCACTGCAAGTACGATGTCGTGGCTAAGCACCGAAAAAAGAGCCAACAGTGGAAAGTGCTACATTGACCCGGTATCAAAGCGTGGTAAGACCGTACAAATGCTCACGATGCTTGTTATGACATTTATTCCCATAGCTGGTATGGTGGCTTACGGTATATCATACGTTGTTAACGCCATAGCCGCTGAAAACCACCTTAAAATTATTGAGCGCCAGGTCGAATCTGTGAAAGCCACAGATGAACTGGTCCACGCGCTACAGTTGGAGAGAGCTGCCACTGTGTATTATCTCGCTACCAATAGATCTGAATTATGGGTTCTTTCAAAGTACTACAACGAGACAGACGCGAAGTTGTCGAATACGGTAGACTGGCTGAAGGATTTGGACATTGTTAGCATCAAAGAATACTCGACAAAGCAGGATTTCCACCGTCACTTGGAATATCATCGATCACATTTGGAAGTGAACCATACTTTCATCTACAGGGACATGTCATTCTACACTGAAGCAATTAGACTCATGGTAGACTTTTTAATCACTTTTACCCAGGATGCAAAGCACGGTACAATATGGCGCCCCCTAGTGGCAAGTAAAATGATTATAAGGGCCAATGAAAATATCGGGAAGGTCCTAGCTGCAGGCATCGATTACTTCATCAAAGGAGCCTTGCCTTTGGAGGATTATACTTTCTTTGTAAGTAATGTTGCTTTAGCTAGAGATAACATAGCCACATTCCAAAAGTACTCTGAATCGGCTAAAAAACTTTATGAAGATATCTACACGACGACATTGTTAGAGAAGGAGGTCGAATCATATTTGGATCTGGTAATGGCGAACAACATCACCGAGGCTTGTTTAAGATGCGCCGTGAGCTTTGATGTGAACATCTCAGAATACTTGAACATTTTGAAACATATTAAAGAAGCTGTTAAGAAAGAAATTATCAATCAGGTCCAGACGGAGATGGCAAAAGCCAAGAGTGATGTCGCAATTGGTGTGATAACGTTCTGCATCATGTTCACCCTCTCTCCGGTCGTTGTTACCATGGTGCACCGGCTGACATCACGTCTCCAGGGTTACGCAAAAGATGTCTCTCAAAAGTCAGTTGAGCTTAAAAAAGCAAAGAATAGATCAGACGAACTACTATATCAGATGATTCCAAAAACTGTCGCCCATGCATTGAAGAATAACCTTACAGTTAATGCAGAGTATTTTAATGAGGTTACCGTCTTCTTCAGTGATATTGTCGGGTTCACTAGTCTAAGCGCCAATAGTACCCCCATGCAAGTGGTTAATTTCCTCAACGCTCTCTACAGTTTCTTTGACCTGAAGATCCAGAAGTACGACGTTTACAAGGTGGAGACCATCGGTGACGCTTACATGGTAGCCAGTGGCGTTCCTGCAAGGAATGGAATATATCATGCGCAGGAGATTGCACTTTTGGCATTAGATCTCTCGGAAGGAACACATACTTTCCAAATTCCGCATCTACCGGAGGAGAAACTACTTCTTCGAATTGGACTTCACTCAGGTAATTTATCTCTTCAATTATTTGGTACTCGCATCTTTGAGTTTTATGGCTTGTAGTAAGTATTAATTTCGAAGATCATGAGCTTGTGTCATAATGGCATTCATTTGATCCAGTAATGGTTTTGAATTAAACACTTTTAATTTGATATTTACGGAAACATACACAGACTTAACCTTTTGATACATCCATTCAGGTGCATGTGCCGCAGGGATTGTAGGAAGTGCTATGCCACGATACTGTCTTTTTGGCGATACAGTCAATACAGCATCAAGGATGGAGTCGAGCGGATATCGTAAGTATTGGAATTGACCAATGATATCGTTGTATTTATTTGTGAGAATCATGTCTTGCATCAGCAGTGATTTCTAGATCTGTTTAATCTCAAATTGATTTCGTCACAGAAATATTAATTGTTGTAATGTAAAAGATGAGGTTAAGATCTTTAAAGTGGGACACTTAGACGAAATGGAATCGCTGATTGTTCCTAAGGTTCCCAGTGAGACATTTAGCTATTATACGAGAATAATCAGTAAACAAGGATGATCACATTGTGGAAATCAATGCGGAGCATCACTGACAGTAATGGTGTCATTTTTGGTCATATATATATTAATATCAAACCTATGTAACCAATTAAACTCTGTCGGTTTAAAAGTAAAAAAAGGATTTTGATTGTTAATTTATAGCACTGAAAATCCACATCAGTATTGATTGTAAGAACGCCTTGGACATGATAGGGGGCTTCATCACAGAGCTTCGAGGAATCACAGAAATTAAGGTGAGTGTTGTTCTAATCATTTGTTACCTGTTGGTTTTTTGCTACCATTTCTACACTGCCATCTATAAGTTTGACAACCAGAAGTTTTCATTGAGTAGTTTATAATACTGCTAATGTTTTTTTGGTTTATTCATTTCATTAAAACATAATAACATTTTTACATATTCGTGGTCGTGATACCTACATGGGTATATAATTCACCAAATGTTTAAATCTTAACTGTGATCAACATTGACATTTTGGAAATTAGCGACTTTGATGATATGAATATCGTCAGACATAAACATGCTTTTAATACTTGACTTGAAAAAATACCTCCGCTTGACAAACTTATTGAGAGAAGTGTAACACCCAGGTTCTGAACACCTGTGTTGATGACAGGGTATTTGTTGATGATAGGTCACTATTAATCCATATTGGCCCTTTTTAATCCGTTTTATATGTAAATGTAAATAAATTAATGAATGACTATTTATTAAAAAAAATTAAAACGTGAATAAAAAATATTTGATTACAATTATAAAGTATATCTTTTTACCTTAGATTATTACTTGTTTACTTCTATAGGGCAAAGGTCCAATGGAGACATACTGGCTAATAGGCAAGGTAGGTGGAACGCGGAAGAGAAGTGGTCCCCATCATTTGGAGGAGGACTATGAGGGTTTAACGCCGTATAGAGTGATAAGTCCTAAGTCGCCTGTATCGGGACAAAAAGTTCACGGAGTAACTGCCCACCCGGGGAAGGCTGTCTTGGAGTCTAAGATCCAGCCAAAGGAGAATGCTGGAGTAAAAGATCTGCCAGGGAGAGTTCCAGAGAGGCAAGAAAATATGCCTCAGGGCGTAGGTGACAAAGGTCAAATTAATGTACCGATGGCTGAACCCTCCTCACGGGGGTATGAACAAGATTATGAAGCTTTGGCCTTCAGTCAACAATCAAGTAATCAGAGACAAATGAATGTTACTCATTATTAATTAAAACATATCGAATATATATATATATTTATAGTGACTCGTCTGTATCATTGCCGATTCAAATTTGGGATCCCTTGTGTCAAGTAATATTTGAATAACATTTCTGGCGTAGTATCTTAGCGACAGGCGATACATTAGGACTTGTGATCTAACACCTTGATCACAGAATGACACAAGCTGGAATATGTTTACTTTTACGGTGTCTTAATGTTAATTGTGTGTATAGTTCATGTATTTTACTATGTGTAATAAAAGATTTATTGCCACAACTGCATGTACAAATATGTAAAATACTGTAATTATTTTAATTGATAGTTAATGCCGCACTCACACGACTCCATTCAAGGGCGTGAATAAATGCAAAGCAAGAAAGAGAGAATGCACTTTCAGCACCATTATATGAAATCTAAACCATTTGACAGAACTATCGCCAAAATGGTCGTTCAAAGAGTTCAAGAGACTCTCAATGCTTCGTGTATATTTGTTTACTACTAGAGTATAGTATTTAAAATTTTATGGTTGCTACGGTAACCAAGGTGATGACGCTATGATTCTGATCATTTTGTAAAAAGGAAGCAAGTAATAGATAAAAGACAGTATCACTATAGCCACATTTTCCGCATTAACTGTCAATCTAAATTCTGACAATATGGTCTTGAAATTTCATATGCTTGTACGAAAGGTGATACTATATCTGTCATAAATTTCATGTAAAATATCTGTCATAAATTTCATGTAAAAATACTCAAATCTTCTCTCAAAATATTTTGAACAAGCCTGACAGATTGGTAATATGTAAGTGTCATTATGCTTTCACAAGTTATATAAACATATTAACTGAATAATTAACCAGTTGCCATGGCACCCACTGCGTATTTTTTGTTCATTTTGATTACCTCACCAGAACTAATACTTCATGATCACATTTTAAAGCACGCATTTCTTGATAGCTGTATTAATAACGTTAATTATTTTCTTCAGCAGCAATTGTTCATTGTTGGCAGTTAAGTGGAGAATACACCCATGTCTTGCATCATAACCTTTGGATTCGGGCTTAAACTCTCTCATTCAAAGACTAGATACAAGACATGAACATTAAACCATTCATATTTCATTGAGCCCCTGTGCCTAAATCCGCCAACAGTACAGGCTTTATTTGCCATTAATTTGGATCTTCTTAAAACCATGCTTGCCTACAATTAACCGCTGAAAGAAATAGTTAAGATATGGATAAAGTACGTATGAGTACTGGGTTTTGATAGGTGAGGGCCTTGGTCAGAACAATCTCCTAAGATCCAGTGCAAATAACTCAAAACCTACACTTACTCATATGAAACGTAAATGGTTAAAGGCAGAATCTGATCTATAGGGGGTGACAAAATTACAAGCAACATGTATAATTGACCTACCAATCTATTCCTTACACTATCAAATACAATATCTCCCAAAAGATTCACAATATGTTATAAATTGGTGAAGTTATTAATGATTCAAAGTGCAAAAATGGGTGAAAATGTTTAAATTCTCCCAAATAATAAGAATGGTAACCATTCTTATAGAAAATAATATATCATTGTAAAAATCTTTAGTTTTCCTGGAATAAAGTATGCACTTTTGTGATTTTTAGAAAATAGACATGACAAGGAATGACATGAGCCAAAACTATTCTAAAATTGAAACAATTTTTTGTTTAGCCTGCTCGCTATATCTGATTCTCTCTTTAATTCATGAAATGTAAATTCTTTAAAAACAAAAGAAAATAAATGCACTCTTCTTTGTTACAACTGTATATTCTTTAAAATAAAATACAGTTCATTATATTGTGTTGCTACCTAAGTGGGAGTTAAGGGATACCAGGCATTTGCGTTTTTCTTATCATCTACACTGTAATTGTAACCACATAGACATTTGGGATAAGTCGTATCCATAAAGTTCTCAACTCTTTATCGAATGTCCAGCACGTAGTGCGACTATCATTAGCGACATCTTTCCAGCTATCCACCAGTTGGATCTTATCTTTTGTTTGCTTATTCACTATCATTTCTGGTGGGCCTTAAACAATAATTGATTATATATATGTTATAAACGAATATGTCTAATGGCCTAGTCACATAGCCCGGCCGATGTCCGGCATCGGTAGAGCTCGGTGGATTTTTTTGGTGCCACCGAGCTCTCCTCATCGGAAGCAGAGCTCGGTGACGTGAACGGACTCCGTCCGGACATCTTCAGGTCCGGACATCTTCAGGCGACCGACCGAACACCGGCCGGTGACCGTACGGAGTCTGTCTCAAATGGTAGTTTTTTTCTGCCGATGTGGCAGCAACTACCGGCCGGAGGTCGGCCGGACATCGGAAGGAATACGGCCAGTACGTATACCCGAGCAGGTAACAGGACACCGTGCGATCGCCGGCCGGGTTGTTAACGGGCTTTGAACAGTGACCGGCCGATGCTCTGTCCCACATCGGCCGGAGCTCAGCCGGAGCTCGGCCGCTGTCCGCTAAAAAAACTCGTCCTCTGGTTGTCTCAGATGCACGGGACACCGGCCGATACTCGGCCGTGCACCGGCCGACGTGTTTTCCGATGTGGTTACGATGGGGCTGCGATGACATGATGAGGGAGCTCGGTGAGAGCCCGGTGAAATTTAACTCCGAAGTTAAAATTTCACCGAGCTACCACCGATGCGGTTTTAAGAAACAAACGCCATGGATGTCCCCGGCCGGTGTTCGGCCGAGTTCGGTGAAAATTGCATCGCTGGCTCATCGTAACCTCATCGGCCGGGCTATGTGACTAGGCCATAAATGAGAGGAATGAATGCAATGCAATCTATATTCTATATTTAGTTTCTCGCCTGTTAGACGTTAGATGCAATTATAAATAATCATTAAATATTCAAAATTCAGTCAGAGCGATATCACATTTGAAATCTACATGTTAAATAATATCTAGTAATTGTTATTAACTTTGAATATCTAATTTTCATTGAGAAAGTGACTTCTGGGTCGGATAGATTCCCCGATTAATCAATGTGGTAATACCTTGCCAGTTCCCTGTGATCTGGACAACATTAGTTCGATTTGCTTGCGATTCCTTTACACTGAACTCAATACCATGAAGCGATACGTTCTTCAGAGAGTACAATGCTCCATCCCAGTTCTGTCCCCTCGCTTCAAACGACTCGTTAGCCCATACCCAAAGATTCATTATATGCTGAAAATTGGTTTTAAAACATCATCAAATTGCAATTATTTGTTGTTTCCTGTTTGATTTGCAACATGACATTCAATATATTCCTTTCAGAGTATGGAGAATGAGAAATATGGAAATAATTTTAAAAATTGCTCGTTCAAATAATATGATATTAATTTGTGTAAATGTATATTATCAATTGACGACATTTTGATACTGTGATAACGAGATGACAATATAAAATATTGATCATACCTTCAAGTCATTCCAAGTTGTTACATTTGGATTGGAGGCAGTGTTCAATGTCATCACACAAGGGTCCAAAGCAGGTACGATACTCCCTGCAACTACTAGCATTGGACATGTGTCCAATGGTGCTGATATTTTGACATCACTTAAAAATATATGAGGTGATAATATATATAAATCATTGTTATGCAATTGTTTTATGAGTAGCTAATCTATTAGTAAGATATTAGGAATCATACAGATATTTTGATTTTGGTATCTGCATAAGAACATTTTTTGCAATCAAGCTGACTTACTTTCCTCCAGGAAGAAAAGCATCAAATCCAATTCGAAAACGACCATCACTCTCGTCATACTGAAGAAGCAAGAACAGTATAAATACATAAATGCCTCCGAACCATTG